AAGCTAGAAAAGACTGGGGGAAGGACTAGGAACGGGGAGATGAGGAGCAAACTTGGAGAAGGCACATGGAGCAGAGGGACGTGTGAAGAAGAACCCGCACTTCTCAGCCTTGGACTTGTCCCAGGACTCGGGGAACACGGAATGACTTGGGGAACACAGAAGGAGAACTTTGAAAGAGACAGACACGTGGGTGAGGGACCTGTGGGGAAGCTGACAATGGCAGCCTTTACCTAGGCTTATGTTTTGATTTTGCTCTTTTCCTTCCAGGCGCATCTGCCCCCTTCTGTCCCTTTGCTGTGGTGCCTTAGAGGTATGTCAGGCTTTCCCGCCTCTGTGGCCCCACTCTGGGCCAACCCTGTTTGGCATTCACGAAGGAGGGGATGGCCAACTCTGGGTGTTTCTTGGGGAAACTTTGTTAACTAATTGTTCTCTTCTTTCTATTGTATTAAAATAGCTCATTGTATTAAAAAGTCAATACAATTGTATTAAAGTTCTTTTTGTTGAAAGTCTTATGCGCTACAGTATATTTAGTCTATGCTGTAGATGGCAGAGACCATGTAGATTAGGCAGGTGTGGGGGTTCCAGGATGCTCCTCAGCCTGCCAGCCAGCACTTGCTTCGAAATGCATCCATCAAGGAGAGGAATCCCAGCTCCTATTCTCTATGGGAGGATAAAATGCTACCTTGCAGAGACAGCTGGACTAATCACACTTAGACTCACCAGTACTTTAATTTTAGGCTCCTCAAACATTCATTCTCTTGGGCCTCCCCTGGTGGCGCAGCGGTTGAGCGCTGGCCTGCAAAGCTGCCCGCAGCCTCTGCAGTGCTGGTTCGTTCCCCGGCCACTGGCGAGGGTCCCACAAAAAACAAACAAACAAAAAAAAAACAACATTCCTTTTCTTTAAATCACCCAAACACCTGTGCACAAATTGAAGTGGAGCTCAGCCCTTTCTCCTCCTGTCAGTAGTGGCTGAGTAAAATCTGTTTTCACTCCTTTAGCCAAAGTCTGACTTGGGGTGTCCTCACAGCGTGGTGACTTGTTTCAGAAGACCAGCAAAGGGAGAAACAGAGACAGAAAGAGAAGAGCACAAAAGCCAGGCAGGTGGACGTTCTATTGTATTTTACCAGCAAGCATTAGACCTCAACCTGGAGGAACTGCTACCAGCATGTGCTGGAAAGAGCAGGTGAGACTAGAAATTGTTCTGGCTATTTTGGGAACATGCAATCTGCACAGAAGGCTTTGAAAATAGTGTGTTAGGGCCTCCCTGGTGGCGCAGCGGTTGAGTGCTGGTTTGCGAAGCTGCCCACAGCCTCTGCAGTGCTGGTTCGATCCCCGGCTGCTCCCCGGCCACCGGAGGAGGGTCCCACATGGCGCGCAGACCTCTCCTGCCGCCCGCTTCTCCCCTCAGCAGTGTCCTTCGGTCCTTCTGCCTGCTCTGCTCCCCGCTCTGGCTCTGGTGAATTCTCTCCCCCTCCCGTGCCTCTGACTGTACCCAGTGCTTGCATAAATAAATAAATGAATAAATCTTTAAAAAAAAAAAAAGAAAATAGTGTGTTAATTAACAAGCAAACTATGTTCTAATAAAGTGCATAGCTGATGGCTTGTTACCATCTGCTGTATTTAAATTACACTAACTTTTACTGAATTTAGTGAAGTTCTCCAATAAATGAGTAAGGTAGCCTAACAGTACGCAAAATAAGTGATGCGTCTCTTGACTACAGTTCTCCTGAATGATCTCAGGAAAAGCAAGTACTTAAATTGTGGAGAAGCCACTTTGATTTCAGGCACAGACTAAGCGAAGAGTTTTTTGGGTTTTTTTTTGTTGTTTGTTTTTGTTTTAAGATTTATGTTTTTGGTTGGTTTTTTTTTTTTTTTTAGTTTATACCAGTGTTTCTGATATTTCAGGCCAGAGCTGAAAAGCATCATTGTATGAGAAGTACATGCCATGAGCATTTTAACTACACCAATTAAAAAATGAGCTATCTGCTTAAAACACAGTATTGAAACTGGGTAGATTTCATTATGTTTCTTAATTCTCAGTCCGCATTTTCTCTACTTTGTGGCAATACTGTAACAGGGTGGTCCCCAGGAAAGGGGGAGGTTCCAGGTTCCCTGTTACTTTGGCCTATCAGAGAAACTGCAGTTGCATGGGATATCCCACGCGTGATGAATGATAACTAAAGAGCTCTTTGTGTCTATATGTTGTCTGTCAGTATGTCCTTGTGTCTAACCGTCTTGACCTCCAGTGATCGACAAATTGGTATACATGGTGCCCATAGACGTTGGAAAAAAAAAAAAAGAGTCTCCAGTTATGAGAAAAACAAAAAGTTATGGTTTGATTGTCAACATTGTGTTACTGAACTAAGCCGGTGCCTTCATAGAGATTGAATATTGTTGTTTCTGTTAATTTTCTGATATTTGTGGCAAAGCTTCCCAGAAATCAAAATTCAAGTACAAATTTGGTAGCCTGTCATTTGGCTGATGCAAGGAAATTTTGTGGAACCTCAGTAGAGCTCCTGAGACACTCCACAAAGTTTCTCCCTTTCCTCCTGGGAAGGCATTAGATGAATTTGTTCTATTTGGCTTTTACCTAATGAAGTAAAACTGGAAGGGAAGCATTGTCACTTGAGAAAATGGTAAAACTTTGGTATGTACAAAATGTTAACAGTGGTTTTCTATAATGTGTAAAAAAAAAAAAACCTCTCAGTATCTGGTATGTATGTAAATTGTCAATGGCGATTGTCACCTTGTAATATTGTATAATTCAATTGTTTCACATCTACAGAAATTGTTTCTGGAAATATAGGGAGAAAAGGTCTCAACAGATTCCTGTTGATGGAACTGTTGAGAGTAAAAAACTTTCCTACAAAGGACTTAATACACCTGGAAATACACCTGACATTTACTAAGTTTTCTTTGACATGATACTGGTAATTTTTTATGCATTCTGCCCTGAATCCACAAAGTTTTTCTTTTGTTTTGTTTTGAGTAACCAGGATCTGCAGCAAGGTTGCAATTTTTTTCCAGCAAAGCTAACTTGTCACATTTTCTGTCCCATTGATACCAACACAGCATATAAATAGTGGTAGTAATTTTTGCTACTTATCTTAGAGTCTGTTTTTGCATAACTTCCACAGGGATTTTGTCTGTTTTAACAAAAAATTGGACGTGAGTTTGATTGTGTGGCTTTGTGTGGAGTTCTTCCAAAAGTCGAAACAGAGCTGAACCAAGAAGAGGAGAACCTGTTTGCCTTGTTTGTAGGGTTCCAGAGACCTCCAAAGAAGGTGAGGAAGCTTGCCTCCATTGGCAGGACTGGACAACCCGGCCAACGAAAATGCCCTGGTACCCTCGAGAAGAGGAAAGCCCAGGTGGAGTCTGATGAGACTAACTTTGTACCTGAAGCCTACATGGACCGGATGCCAATGGTTCGCTCTGATCCTATATGGAGCATTCCAACAAAGCCAGCTAAAATTGCTGCTTAGTTATTCTGCCCTGTGATTTTATGCAAAAATAGGCAAAATGGTTTAAAAGTAGATTTAATTTGCAAACTTTTGCTATGCTGTTAAAGTTTGGGATCAAGGTTGAGAGAATTCGTTTTTGCATAAGTTGAACCATTTTAACATTTTTTTCCCTGTGATTTTGATATATTTGCTATCTTGTTTTAGCTAATACTCCAGAATTTTTTTTCTTTTGGCTTGGATAATGAACTATTTTCAAGTAATGGAAAACTGTCATACTGGACATTCATGGACAATGCTACTGACTAATTGTTGCTTCTCTTACCCACATTGTAACCCTGAAAAAAAAGACTGTCTCCTAAGATTACACCATGACATCTGTGCCACCATAGATATGGTGGAATAAAAACTAAAAGGGGGGATTGTAACAGGGGGGTCCCCAGGAAAGGGGGAGGTTCCAGGTTCCCTGCCCCACCCAAATGGAGGGTGGAGCTGAGCGGGGAGAGGAGAAGCTGCAGAGGAGACTGAGGAAGGAAGCAGGATGGAGCCAGAAGGAGACCTGGAGGAGGCGCGTGGAGCCTAGAGACACGTGAAGAAACTGCGCTTGTCTTTTGGTCGTGGACGGGGTGACACAGACGTGGGTGAGACCCGTGGGGAGGGGACCATGGCAGCTTTTATCTTGATGTTGATTTTGCTCTTTTCCTTCCGGGCTTGTCTGGTTGTTTCTGACCCTTTTCTGTGGGTCCCCACTAGAAGCTGCTTTAGACTTGGGGCAGGCTTTGGGGCCTTGCTCTGGGCCGATCCCATATGGATGGACTTGTACCCACGAGGGGACGGGTCACTTTGGGTGCTTCATTTAGAAACTAGACTCTTTGCCTTACCTGTATTGTTTCCTAGTTTAATTAAAGTTCCTTCCCATTAAAGTCTCATATGTTTTGTGTTGATGCGGCGGATGGCAGAACCCATTTAGAATAGGCAGGTTTGCGGGGTTTGGGCTGCCCCTCTCCCTGCCCTGTAACAATACCACCTGTTGGAACAGCATTTGATTCAAAAATAACATCTGAATGTATCACCTTTTGACAGGATTGTTATTTATTTTTATCCAAGAACCGGGTACAGGCCGGATGCACTGGAGGGTGAGAGGAATCACCAGAGACAATGTGGGGAGCAGAACAGGCAGACTGACTGAAATCCACTGCTGAGGGGAGCAGTGGGCGAGACAGGAGAGGTCTGCCGTGTCCTGTGGGCCTCTCCCCGACCGCCCAGGAATCGAACCCGCGCCGCCGAGGCTGCGGACATCTTCCCAGCGCGGCGCTCACCCCGCTGCGCCACCTGGGAGGCCCGCGAAGCGCTTCGTTAATATGATTGGCCCCCGCGGGCTTCCTGCCTGGACTACATTTCCCAGCAGGCCCCGCTCGGAACTACGAGTGCCTGCGTGAGGCCCGGCGCCGTTGGCGGCGGCGCAGTCGCCGCGGGGGGAGGGGGCGGCTGACGGGCGGGCGCTTTGCGGTTTGAATGGCTGCGGGCCCGGGCCGTCGGCGCTCCTGAGGGCCGGCCGCGCGGGGTGCGTTATGCCTTCGGGAGGCGACCAGTCGCCGCCGCCGCCGGCAGCAGCGTCGGAGGGGGAGGAGGACGAGGACGGCGAGGCGGAGGACGCCGCGCGGCCGTCGGGCTCGCCGGCGCCGCAGACGCAGCAGCGCTTCGAGGAGCTGTGCAGCCGCCTCAACATGGACCAGGCGGCGCGGGCCGAGGCCTGGGCCAGCTACCGCGCCATGAGCGAGAGCTACACGCTGGAGGTGCGGCGGGGCCGGGCGGCGGCCGGGGCGGGGGCGCCGGGGGCGCGGCCTTCCCGGGGGCCGTTCCGGGCCGGGCCGGGCGCGCCGTCGCGGGTTCCGACACGGCGCCGTCGTCGTCGCCGGCGCCGTCGCCCTCGAGCCGCGTCACGGAGCGCCGGCGGGCGCCGCCGGCAGGTGCAGCCGCCGGGGGCGCGGGCGGGCGGGGCCGCTCGGAGCGCGCAGGTGACCCCGGGCGCGGCCCCCTTGGGGTGCCACCCTGCCTGGGTGCGCCCCCGCGGCCCCGGGCCGTGCGCGTCCGGGTGGACAAAGGCCGGGCGCGGGCGGGCGGGCGCCCCTGGTCGTGGGCGCCGGGGCCGCGGGCGCTGCGGGGCTGGGGGCCGCGCGTGCACCCGCGGGCGGCGGGGCGGCCTCGGGCCAGTGAGGCTCCGCGCCGCGGGCGCCGCCCCTGCGCCGGCCAATGGGGAGGCCCGAGGCCGGCGGAGCTGCCTGGCGGGGCGCGGGCCGGGCCCCCGCGCGGGGTCACTGTGGTCCGGGCGCCCCGCGAGCCCCGTGGGGCGTCCCGGCTTGTGCTTGCGTCGGTGCAAAGTCAAGCTCTGCCCCGCGCTGGTGCCAGGGGAGAAGGAGCCGCGCGGTGGCTTTGGGATCTGACAGCCCAGGCCGGTGCGCGCCGGCGCAGCCCCCCACCCACCTCCCCCCACCCCCAGACCCCGCCTGGCGCTGGGGGGTGCGGGGAGCGGGAGGCCGCCCTCCCGGGGCCGCGCCCCGCGCCCGGGTCTCTCTCGCCGCCCCTGACTGTCCCCACACGCGCCTTTAATGATCCCTCGGGATCACCCTAGTAAGTCAGGCAGGGCCCGCATCACCACCGCGCGCTCGAGCTGGTGCAGCTGGAGCTGCTAAGGGACGCGGGGGACAGTGTGGCGTGAGCAGGGGACAGAAGATAGATGGCTGGGAAAGGCAGTCATTTTGAAAGCCCGTGTGGTTAGTCAACGTTTTTAGGACTTCAAGCTTGTGTCTTGGCTCGATTGGCCCAACACATGAACGCGTGTTCGTGTGTCAAGGACACATTTTGGGGTGGTTTTTATTTATTTTCTTTATCATGTTTTAAATTTTCTTACAGTGTTGTTCATTCTTTTAACGTTCTTTTTGTAAAAGAAAGATTTTTATTTTATTTACAAGAACTGGGGTGCAGGCCAGAGGTGCTGGGGGTGAGAGAGTTCACCAGAGACAGAGTGGGGAGCAGAACAGGCAGATCTACTGAAATACACTGCTGAGGGGAGCAGCGGCCGAGACAGGAGAGGTCCGCTGCGCCATGTGGGTAGCTTCCTGGCCAGCCGGGCATCAAACTCATGCTGCAGAGGCTGCAGGCAGCTTCGTAGTGCTGAGACTTAACCCCTTGCGCCACGAGGGAGGCCAAGCAGTGTTCATTTTTGCACAGCATTTGATCTCTCCCCTAAAGTGTAGTCCCGGTAATTATCCCACCCCCTCATCACCTGTGAAGCATCACCATGGTCCCTTGTGCTCTTTGCACCAGTGTTTTATCAACTGCTTTTTGATCACCTGTTCTTGGCAGACACTTGCAGGTGATGGACTTGGAGCAGTGGACAGAAATTAAGAATCCCTGCCCTGTGGAGCTTATAGTTTTGCATGCTGTAAGATAATTTGGCATGTCTGTCTCATGGAAATATAGAATAGAAAATAAATTACATGTAATAATTAGTACAGAATACTGGTTACAGAATGTTAACTTTGGGTGGCTTGTATTTTTTTCGTTTCACATTTGTAATTCATTTAATTCTCACAGTCCTCAGATAAGAACATGGATTCTCTGTGACTATTAATTTGCCCAAGGTGTGCGGCTCCCAGGTTGGGACTCTCGAGGTGCATGTCCTGAGAGAGCCAGGTAGAATATGTGCCTTTCATGGTCTTGACAATTGTGTAACAGCATCTTCACTTACGCTGCTGACTGAGACAGTTACACAGTGTGAGGGCACACCCCAGCCCGGATTCAGAACGAAGGAACATGGAACACAGACATTTTCCTCTCAGTGGAAGAATGTCTGTGTGTAAGGAGAACACGTGGGATGCTTTAAATTTAAACATAGGACATTTTTTATATTGAAGTATATACCGCTTATTAGCTAAAAAATCAATTTTTTTCTTATTTTACAGGGAAATGATCTTCATTGGTTAGCATGTGCCTTATACGTGGCTTGCAGAAAATCTGTTCCAACTGTAAGCAAAGGGACTGTTGAAGGAAACTATGTATCTTTAACTAGAATCCTGCGCTGTTCAGAGCAGAGGTAATTATGTTAGAGTTTGAAAAGTGAGTGTGGCTAATATAAAATTGTAGGATAGTAGGAATTCTTTTTGTTCATTTTGTAAGTATCTGACCCTTCAGAGTACTGAATTATAAGTAGGTCATGGTTTTCCTTTATCACATCTAAATTAGTACCAATTACATGTCACTTCTTTGTTGAAAAATATTTAAATTTATCGTCAGGTTCTTGTATGACAAGTTTATTATTAGAAGTTATGACTTAACTGGGTAATATTGGGAGATTGTTAAATAAGGAGATAGAGAAACTTTAGGAAATACTCTCGATTGAAAAGATAAGTAAAATATGATATTAAACTTAGAAATACATACGCAGGACTTATATCTTAATGTGTATGTGATGTGTAACTACTTCTCAGTGTCCTGCTGGGGGTAAGCAACACTATTCTTGTCAATTCTAGAAAGGGTCAACTTAAGTTTTAAAAGAGGCAGAAATTGCTTTTTCTATCTATTGGGTAATTGAAATAGTTATATTATTTGTGCCTTTTAGATTCTCTTATGGCTTATTAAGGATTAATGGAAAGGGACCGTTCCCATTTTGGAGGAGCAAAATGCCACTGTCAAAATTATGGACCTAGCAGTTTTTAAAAATCACTGACTATTAAAAAAAAAATAAAAAAAATAAAAAAAATAAAAAAAAAATCACTGACTATTAACAAGGCATGTAATATTTTAGCTGTAGTCTGTTGTTAACCTTGAACTCCATCTTGAGTTCTGTTTAGTTAACAACAAAAGGTACTGCATAAAGAGTTGAATAATGCTTGAACTGTAAATCTGCAGAAGTGGACTTAGAGAAGGTGCAACAGCATAGTCAGTATGAAGAAGGAAAGTGGAGCAGATTGAGCAGTTATATATCAGAGAGGAGCTTAAGAAACAAGGTTGAATTGTGGACTTACCATTGCAGAAGATTGTAAACTAAACTTACCTGAAAATTTTAATGCAAATACTATAATCCCAGACTTCAGTTATTTCCATTTCAAGAACTTAGTTTTTATTTTTACATTTTCACCAGTGTGTTCAGATTGTTCACTTTTCTGCCATGATGGACTAAATGGATTCAAAATAAAGAGCAGATGGGAGAAGACATTATGCATATAACTGATAAAAGATCAGTGTTTAGAGCTCTATTGAGAACGATTAACAAAGGGCTAAATAATTGACAACCACCTACTAAAGGCGGTAAAGAATATGGTTTCCTAAAGGCACTTGTCACATAGCTGACACAGGCCAAGATCCTCACCTTCACTGGTGATGACAGGCCAAAGTATAAAATGAGACGGCATTTAATTCTCATCATACTGGGGAAGTTTGAGGTCTGGCAGTCCCAAGCGGGTACCATAACGCTGGCAAATGGGTGCCAGTATCAGTCAGCACTCCCACTCTGGGGGCATTCGCAGTCTCGTTGAAGATGCACCTTCTCTGACTCAGCTGTTCTCCTACTTGATAGTTTCTAAGGAAGCTCAAATACATGTACAATAAGTGTCCATTGCAGGTTTTTGTGTTACAATTAGAAACCTCAGTTTCTATTGGTTGGGGAATGAATGCCAAAAATGATAGTTCATCTGAAGGAATATTTTTAGCAATTGAAATTAATGAATTGGATTAGATGTATCAACATTAATGAGTCTCAGAAACATGACTGAGTGAAAAAAGTTGCAGAACATACAGTATGATACAATTTATGTAAAATAAAAACCACACGCAAAATATATTTCTTCCCATTTATGGGTTGATATGTGTATCTATTCAGATGAGCTTTGGAATGGTGGCTAGCTCTGAGGAGGAAGACGGTAACAGGCTGGGGGAGTGCAAATTGGAAATTTCACTGTATCTATGGAATATGAAGCAAGCATGGCACAAGTTATTTGATATGTTAATATTTGTTAAATATGACAGTTAAGAACATGAAAATTAGTTTCATGACTCTCATTTATATAGTTCATAATTTTAAATATACCCTTAGATCTTCTCAAAAGAAAAATAGACTAAGAGCAAAGAAATAGCCAATCTGCAAGAGCAAGCTACTCAGGGGCATGCGTTGTGATTTTATATAACCATCTTAAAGTCACATCATTAATGGATTAGTTTGGTTTGCTTTTAATTATCTTCAACTGTGTACATTACATTTGTGTTAACTATGAAAATATCTCATTTTTATCTTTAATACCAGCTTAATTGAATTTTTTAACAAGATGAAGAAGTGGGAAGACATGGCAGATCTACCCCCACATTTCAGAGAACGTACTGAGAGGTTAGAAAGAAACTTCACTGTTTCTGCTGTAATTTTTAAGAAATATGAGCCTATTTTTCAGGACATTTTTAAATACCCTCAAGAAGAGCAGCCTCGTCAACAAAGAGGAAGAAAACAGCGGTATGTTCTTCCGTTTGTGTTCAGGAGAACGTCTTTGTCAGGCAGCGCTACGTTCCCATCCCTCCGTTTGTGCCCCTCAGTGTATTTTGCGGGTCTTGAAAAAAGAAAGGGCCTTCATAAATATTCTTTTCCTTAATAGATTTCTGCTAATAAAAGTTTCTTGCTTTTCAATTTTCAGTTGTGTATTAGCCATGAAGAGTTGTGCTGCTTTCACATTGCAGAATGTATGGGGTCTTTGTTTTCATAAACTTTTCCTTTTTCACTTAAGCAACCAAAAATGCAAAAGGCAGACCTTAGAGATTTTCACCAATTAATTACCTTTGGTATAGGATTTGGCGCCTTGATTTTCTGTTATTGACTATTGACTCTCCCCTTTTCTATATATTATGTCTATTAATTTGACTTTCATGTCAACCTGAGCCATACATAATCCCCTTGTAAAGGCCACATTATGTATTTTGATGTTTATGACCTACCAAGAATGGGAAAACTGCGTTGTGGGAAGAATAGGGGAATGGAACCTATTACACATCTGTCCTTTCCTTCATGCCTGAGCAGTCTGGAAACATCCTCTGCTTGGTGTTCTCCCCCTAGTAGGTGAGGGCAATTGGGCCAGTTTATCATGGGTCTCTACCTTTATCATGTAAGTTTTTTCATAAGGTAGAAATGGAAATTTGTTCTTAAAGCAGACCAGAAAAATGTTTAAAGTGTTACTTTTTCTTCAATATAAAAAATATTCCCAAATTGTGAAGGATATTTGCAACAAGTGAGCAGCCTTCAAAAAGATAACAAATTGGGCCTCCCCGGTGGCGCAGCGGTTGAGCTCTGGGTTGCAAAGCTGCCCGCAGCCTCTGCGGCGCCGGTTCGATCCCCAGCTGCTCCCCGGCCACCGGAGGAGGGTCCCACATGGCGCGCAGACCTCTCCTGCCACCCGCTGCTCCCCTCAGCAGTGTACTTCGGTCCTTCTGCCTGCTCTGCTCCCCGCTCTGGCTCTGGTGAATTCTCTCACCCACCCGCGCTTCTGACTGTACCCAGTGCTTGTATAAATAAATAAATTAAATAAATAAATAAATCTTTAAAAAAAAAGATAACAAATCATGTACATTTTTATATCCAGCTGCTCTCATTTGTGCAATTTGGGGGCGCCAACTGTTTAAATATTCTAAAAGTTTGGATAGAAGCTTTTTCCTGAGTCAGAGCAAGGCTGATGTGATTATTCATAGAAGGGAATAGAATCTCTTCTTTGGAGCATTGCAGAAAATAATTTCAGCTTGCACTTGATTTGATAAGGTATGTTTTTCATTAAGAAAATTGTGACGCTAGCTTAATTTAGAAATTTTTCATTTATAATCACTGTATTTTTCTTTTTTTTAAAGATTATTTATTTACTTATTTATTCCAAGGTTCATTTTTATTTTTTATATTTGTATATTTTATTTTTTATTTAAATATTTTATTTTATATAATTCTTACATCTTTTTTCATCTTTGCACAATGTATGCATTTTCATTTTGGTTATATTCCCCATACAATTGCACCCCCCCCTTATTTTGACTCTAGTCCTTCCTTTCCCTGCCCCTCCCTCCCCCTTATAATCACTGTATTTTTCAATAGTACTTTTGGCTAATAAAAATAATTTACCAAGCAGTTGTTAACAGGAGTGGGGACTCTTCTAAGACTTTAACCTGTATTGTTTCAGTTAATCCCTTTGGCAATCTGAGGAGGCTGATGCTGTTAATACAGGGGGGAAACAAGCCCTGAGAGGTTAAGTATTTCTGCCACAGTTACTGAAACTTAGGTGGTCTGACTACAGAGCTCAGGTGCTTCCCCTTGACTGTGCTGCATCTCACACAGACCTGTCTTTAAAAATTTCTCGCTGAGTATTATTGAGCACTTATTACATGAAGTACTTTGTTAGATAAGGACGCAAACCCAGTCTCTTTCTCTTGAGAGTTACAGTCTAGTTGGGGATAGGAGGCTTCTATAAAGATTCTAGTTTGTGCAGTTAGCATGTTATAAAAGTCATGTGAGCCCCCCAAAATAATAGAAATGTAGGACTTCTGAGGAGAGAATAAACCACTCTGTATGAGCCAGTCAGGTAAGGTTCCATGGAATAAGTCGAAGTAGGTCTTGAACAATGGGTAGGATATAATAGATGAATTTGGAGAAAGATAGAACCTTTAATGCAGAAGATAAAGAACGAAGATATAGAAGGAGCAAAGCAAGAGGAAACCTTAAGTTCTAGAGTTCTCAAGTTACAGAGTCAATTTTTAAAGTGGCTTAAGTGTTAAGTAAAATAAGTTTGACTTATCTTGGGGTACATCAAAACTAAATTATCATCTGCTTGTGGTAAGGAGCCCACTGACATTTCATCTTTGCCATGGACTGGTGAATTAAGTGCAATATATACCCAAATAGAATAATCCTTTTGCAGGTAGAGGGATTGGAGAGCTAGCATACTTAACCTGTGTGGGATCCCAATCCCAGTCTCCTGTTTCTTCTTTAATAAGAGCGTCTTGTTAGAATAAGGCTATTGGGATATGAACATTGCCAAGCTTAGCAGGTCTCAAACTCCTTTTAGCAGACAACTTGGAAATACAATAGGTACTCTTTGTGAATGGAAGTGTAAGAAACTATAGGAAACCCATAATTTATATTTAATGGCCTTTTTGAATTGGTGTAATCTGGAATGTCTTTAGGGAAAGAGCTCTTTACAGTTAATTCATCAGCTGTGATGGAGGGGGGGAAATTGGGGAAATATCTGATTGCACATGAATCTTTAAAGCAACATCAGTTCTGCTGGCTCATCAGAACAATTACTTATTTTCTGCCTTACCTGTCTTGATCTTGTCTAGTTTTTCAGAATTTTCTTCCTTCTGAGGTGAGCTCTTTCCCTGGGCCCCAGCAATTGCCCAGCAATATTTGGTTGGAGCTGAACTTCTTGTGCATTTTCCACCTGAAGCTCAATATGCTGTCACTCCCACTAACTGTGGGTTTTGAGTCTCACCTAATTTATAGTTGTTGGTGATGTCTTTTTTCTAGTTCTTGTTATCTTACAACTTTTTTCTTCCCTAAAGGCGACAGCCCTGTACCGTGTCTGAAGTTTTCCATTTTTGTTGGGTGCTTTTTATATATGCAAAAGGTAAGAAAAGAGTAATATTTATTTAGATTTAGCTTATTTAAATGTTCAGGTTTTACTTCTGTCAGCAATGAATCTTTTTCTCAGTGAAGATTCTTTTCTCCGTGAAGTTTCTCAAAGGTTTAATCCCAGATTCTTTAAGTATTGCTTTTTCATAAAATATTTTGAATTTCTTTACAGTATCCAAATTTTAATTATGAAATGCAAATTCCTGTAATTTTCTTAAAAAACGTGTTTTCACTCAAATTTGTGCTTCTGAATTATGGACTGAAAATGTACTTGTATCTTGAGCTGTATATTTTTCACAAAACATGTCTTATTTAGTTGAATGGAACTGATCATCCTCAGGAGTAATTCAGATTACTTCTGACATCTTGTTCAGATAAATATACTAGATCAGGTACCTTTAGATATAATTTACTTTCTTTCCTTTTTTCCCCCCTAATCTCATTTAACCTGTCCAAGATCTGCATTCAAGGAAATCTGTTTTTATTGTATTTTTGTCCTCTGTATTCCTATGCAGAATCATTTCAACATAGGAATACAGCAGAAAGAAAGTATATTTAAGTTAGTTGTATAGCATTTATCTATAGACTATGTAGAATACCTTTGCCTTTAAGATAGCCCAATAAAATACAAAGTGAAGAGATTCAAGAAGCTGAAAGGGAAAGTCTCATTATTAGATCATCTAGTCCAACTTAAAGATGAAGGAATTGAGGCTCTAGAACAAGCTGCTGAAAACAGAGCTAGAATTCGAACCCAGATCTAGCTCTTGGTTTTCTGCTGGCTATGAGGACCTTCTAGCAAGGTACTTCCTTGGTCTTGATTTGTGTAATAATAGAGGGTCCTCTCTAGCTAGTTTGGTGAGAACTTACCCTCCTTCCATGAGGAGCATGCTCCATTGAAAAGAAGAATCTTCTGTCAAAAAAAAAAAAAGCTTAGTCATTTTGCATCCCATCACATTGATGTATTTCTTTAATGGCGATGAAGGTGATATGATCAATGGCATGAAGTAAAGACTTAGGGTCGTAGGAATTGCTTTCATGGTGGTTTTCACATGTTTCATCTTCATGTGTCTGTTATTATATAAATCTTTTCATATGACTGCAAGTATATCTGACATCTGGGATTGTATCTGTTTTGTTTGTGATGGTGTATATGTGCTTGCTTCTTTATAAACTATTGAAGAGGAATTTTATTGTCCTTACTTAGATTTTTGTCTCACTGCATTAATTAGGGTAGTATTTTTTCTTTCTGCAGTTAACTCAGTGTTTCAGATTTATTCTCCTTTCATTGATTTAATCCATAATGATTTAATCTGAAGAGCTTTTGACCCCTCACTATCCATTACTGTGATACTTTATGCTCCTTTTGGATCTTTTCTAATAGAGCAGTTCAGTTGGCTTTCTTCAGTTCTTGATGTAGTTATTTTGGAGGGAAGTTTTACTTTTTTATAGCCTTCTCTCGACGTTCTTTGTAGCATCTGGGCATCCAGATTATCTTGTTCCTGATAAGTAAGCCTGCTCTTTATGCCTTATCATTGTTGACTTCCCATGGCAGTACATGCCAGTAACACGTGTGGGCTCGCTCCCGTGTAGGATTTTGTGGCCTGAAGACAATCAGTGCTACTTCCTTTTTTTTTTTTTTGTGAGATCCCAACTCTTCTCTTTCCTGGTAAATAAAACAGCTTGGGGAAGAATAAACAGGTTGTCTTTGTTGTTAGAAAACTAAAAAGTCTCCTAAAGTGAGATTTATTTCTAACTTCAGAGTTGAGATTGTCATGTGGGGACAATCTTGGAGTTTAAATTAGATTCTAATCTTTAGGGGCCTTTCAGATTTTTGTTGGAAGTTACAGTGCTGCTGTTTTTTCCCTTCTGTGGTTAAGTACACACCAGTGACAAGTTTAGACTTGTCAGTGTGATGGGCTTTGTAGCTTGAAAGCGGTAGGTGCTACTTCCTGTTTTACATTTGAAGAACATTATGTCTTAATATTAAACCTCTTTACAGGGGAGTCGAGCAATTCAGTTGGTTATATTAGTGCAAGATTTAACCTATTATAATAGACCTTCTGCATCGGAAAAATATTTTTTTCTCTTTAATTCATTTAAGTTGATTTGTTGAATGTTTACAGCAATACTAAAAAGATTTATCCTGGTATGCTCGGGTAAGTGGTAACTTTCTTTGATAGAAAGGAGAGAACAAACCCTGCGGTGAAGCAGTGTAAGCGTGTGCATGTGGCTGTGCCTATGTTAGAGTGGAATTCAGGGTAAAAATGTTGAGATTTAGAAATAATTCTTAAAAGAATGTTAGCTATTTGAATTCATCAGATGTTGTAAGATCAGCATGAAGCATATATTTGTAGTGTTTAATGAAAAAAAGGATATGCTCAAAGTTATAGGAATATATCTTAAGAAGAATAACAAAACTATTTAACTGCCTCTAAAAACTGCTTTCACTGTTGGACTTAGCACTGTCAAATGCTGTTTTTATAGTTTTGACATGTTTATGTTTCTATAGTTTTAAGGTTTGCTTTCTTAGTTAACAAGCACAGACAATTATTCCTGTAATATTAGCTCTAGAACTTAATATCTTTGATTGTGGTCCTGCCGCGTTAATTTGTATGAACTTATAATCAATATGGAAAAAAAGTATTAAAAATATTACCACTAGGAGTGTGAGTATAGGTTCTGGTCATTTTAAGTACATATGTGACAAAAAATAATTATATAAATTGTTTTTCATCTGTCCCTAAGTGTCTACTAATTTTCTTGATAGAAAGATATTTTAGTATTATGCAGCTTCCCATAGTCAGATAATTTATGAAGCTTTTTGTGTTCAGAATGTTCAAAGGATAAGCCAAATAATAAAATTTTGGCTAGCTAGTAGGCAGTTAGTAATTGCTTAGATAAAAGAATAATGAATGACATTTTTGGTAAAGTTTTGGATTTCATCAAACTCTTAAAGTTTATTAAACTCTAAGAGTAATAATCCAAAATGTAGCTACTTAAATGTTTTTTAAGTAGCCATCGAGTAAACTTCATATAGTGTTGTATGTCATTTTAAAAGAAGAGATTATATTTAAAATATTGTAAAGTTGATGCAAATTTAACTGTTTATAATCCTATAGGCAATTTTCCCATGATTAGTGATGATTTGGTCAATTCCTATCATCTTCTGCTATGTGCTTTGGACTTAGTGTATGGAAATGCCCTTCAGTGTTCTAATCGTAAAGAACTTGTGAACCCTAATTTTAAAGGTAAGTTTGTAAAGCAAAGATTATTGGACAACCCACATTACACATTCTATTTACTCTTAAAAGTTCTGTACATAATACAGGTTTGCTGCTATCAAAGAAATAAGTGCTTTGAAAAGTTCTATCATAATTATTCAGAGAACTTATAACTAGGAGTTGAGCGCTCTATAAAAATATTTATGATAAATGAAATTGCAGTATCACAAGTTTAAAGTCTTAGATGCCAACTTTAGAAGTTTCTGAAATACTAAGCAGAAAGAAGGCATTTTGAAACCTGGAATAGCAAAAATGGCATTGTTAAAAGAATCTTCGTTGTTTTCTACAGAAGAGTAATAGTTATGGTTCTGAAGTAAATGGACATTTTAGCTGTTAAACATGTGTGGAAATAATTATTTTGGCAGTACATTTAGTAGACTGTAAAGTATGTAATTTCTGTGAATTATACACAGTAAGAGACTATTCTCGCCTTTTGAATAATACCGTAGTAAGATTCTGAGTGTCAGTTTTTCAGTGGTTACAACAAGAATTTCAACCTGTCTTCTGACTCAGTTTAGACTTCTTAAGTTAGTAGAGTTAGTGGCTTCGTTGTTCCTGGTTGGTAAATTTGATGTCCTTTGTATAGTGCCTTCCTCGCATCTCCTTCTCACTCCATTTCTATTTCTTTATAGCTGCTTCCCTTCGTTTCCCCGCTCATTTATTTATTTATTTATTTGCATTAAATCTCAGGCAAGAATAAGCTGCAAGATAATATGATAAATAAATGTAATACAAATATATGAAACTATATAATCTTTCAACTGTAAATTTTTTCACATTGGTATTTTTGTTTGGATGTTAGGCTTATTTGCAACGTTTTTTAGGTTTTATAGCCTTATACTAAAATTACTGTTTCAGTTTTTATCTTTTAAATTCTCCAGACAGATAATAATTGAGATCTTGAATAGGGTTGTACTTTATTTTTATTCGCTATTTTTGAACTATTTTCAAATTGAATCAAATAGACATTATAATACACTATTTCCTGTATGTTCATATGCTAACTCATAAGATGATTGGATTCTATTAGATAGAATTTAGCTTATTACAGTTTTGTTTATGGAATGCTACCTGAATGTCACTGTTCTATGATTCTATCTGTATTAGGCCTAGCTGAAGATTTTCATACTAAGGATTCTAAACCTTCCTCTGACCCACCTTGTGTCATTGAGAAACTCTGTTCCTTACATGATGGCCTAGTGTTGGAAGCAAAAGGAATAAAGGAACATTTCTGGAAACCCTATATTAGGAAACTTTATGAAAAAAAGGTTTGTAAGTAATAAAGACATAATATGAAAATACTTTCTGTGGAAAGATTTGATTTAATGTGATGACTTAAGGCTCTTTTCTTTTACCGTAGCTCCTTAAGGGAAAAGAAGAAAATCTTACTGGGTTTTTAGAACCTGGAAACTTTGGAGAGAGTTTGTGAGTATCTTTGTATATCTCAGAGTTTATTGTTTTCATTGTGTGTATCCTGGAAGTCTAGAATATGTTTTGTGGGAGAATATACGAAAGCAATTAAAATATCTATGAGTTGCTACTTTAAGCATGTATTTTTAAATTTACTGAAAATTCTATGACTATTTTTAACGCTTAATACTTAAGCTTTGGATCATAATTTTTTTTTTAATACTTTTGGCACTGTACAGGTGAAAAGTGATGGGACATATGGAGGTCTTCAAAGGTGCCTAGAGCAGCCAGAAAAGAGAATTAAATGCAGAGAAACTGCTTACCAGGCAGATTAGTATAGGATATAGGGCACCCACCCTAAAACTGTCAACTAAACGTACTTATTATGTAGTGGATGAGCATAGTGTAGCAAACCAACAGTTTATACTCCTTGGTTTTTATGGTGAATAGTGATCCCATTAAAATTTAACTTTCACAAAAATTTTAGAACTGTAAATAAGTTAAAAGATGAAATTTAGTGACTTGAAACATTAAATGAAATGGCAGCTCTGTGAATGTCCTTTTTTTCCCTCCCTATAGTAAAGCCATCAATAAGGCCTATGAGGAGTATGTTTTATCTGTTGGGAATTTAGATGAGCGGATATTTCTTGGAGAGGATGCTGAAGAAGACATTGGGACTCTCTCAAGGTGTCTGAATACTGGCTCAGGAACAGAGACAGCTGAACGGGTGCAGATGAAAAACATCTTGCAGCAGCACTTTGACAAGGTGAGTTGAGCCAGAAGAGTACAGGAAGAGATGTCCAGAGGTTCTGTTTATTTTGGTTATTGTGTGTATATGTGTGTTTTACTTCTAGTATAAAAGAGAAAATTCCCGTCATGCTTATTAATTGAAAAACTTATCTCTATGTTTATTGATTTAATTTTGTTAATATCAGCTTTTGATATTTTTGGTTAGATCTGAGAAAAAGAGAGGTTAATCTCCATATACTATACAATAATAAAAGTATTATGCTGATAATGTGTTTGGAAAGATGCCCAGTAATATAAGCCTTTAAATACTGGACTGAGTAAGCATTTAAAAGATGGTGGTTGACCTTAATTGGTGTCTTCCTCTCAGAGACCAGAAAAACTGAGAGTCTGCAGTCTTTGCACGACTCTGAGGTTCCGAATCACTGGTGTTTCATGCAAACATTTAGGATGATGGAGACTAAGAGTTTCCTTTCTATTATGTGTTGTTCACAGAAAATATATAACTTCTGACAAGTGCCTCCAGAGGAAGTGGGATAATACCAAGGGGTAGTTCTCCTCTAAGACCAGCTTGAGACTAGGTTGCTTAGTTATTCAAAAGTATTTTAAAGGTATTCTATCTGCCAGATTGTGTTCTGGACATAGGATACAGCAGTAAGCAAAACAGACATTGGTATTCTTTTCTAAAGAATTTTATATTGTATAGAGAGGGACAACAGATAACCAAACAAGTAAATATGTAGTATATCAGATGATGCTGTATGAACGAAATAAAATAGAGTATTGGGGAGGGGGGAGAATGGGTGTTCTTGCGACTGCTGTCAGCAATGGCTGGGAAAGGTGTCTCCAAGAAGGCACTATTAACGGAGAGCTCAATTAAGTCATGTTGTGGAAATGTATTTGAAGCCAAGAGTGTGTCAAGTACAAAGTTGTGAAATAGGAACATAACATTGAGAACACCAATGTGGTAGAAACAGAGTGAGAAAAAGAGTGATTAAGAAGTAAAGGGAAGGTGAGACCTCAGACCCATATGAAAAAATGTTTTATCAGAGAAATGCAAAAACCACAATGAGATACCAGCTCCCACTGGCGAGAATGTCCCACATTAAATAAACTGGAAACAAAAAATGCTGGCAAGGATGTGGTGAAAAAGGAATCCTCTTATACTGCTGATGGGAATGTAAACTGGGCCAGGCACTATGGAAAGAAATTTGGGAATTCCAAACACTGAAAGTAGACTTCGCATGTGACCCAGTGATTTCATCCTAGGAATCCAACCAAAGGACACAAAAATAGTAAATTGAAAGGAAATCTGCACTCCTATGTTTATTGCAGCACTATTTACAATAGCCAAGATACCAGGCCTACTTAAATGCCCCAAACATGACTGGATCAAGAAGATGTGGTCTATGTACAGAATGGAATACTACTCAACAATCAAAAAAGATAAACTAATGTCATTTGTGGCAATATGGATGGAGCTAGAAGGGATTATGCTAAGCGAAATAAATCAAAAGGGAAAAGATAAATATTGGATGGTTTCACTTCAGTATGGAATTTCGAGAAACCGAACAAAGGGTTAGGTAAAAGATAAAACTTGCAAGCTGACCATAGATTCAAGGCAGGGGAGGGGGACAAGAAGGGGGAAAAATAGAGGGGTCAAAACAGGGAAGGGATGAGCACAAGGGACTGTGGTGATGGTTCAGGGGTGCTATGAGGACTAACCAAAGGGGAGAAACCAAATACTGTCCAAAAATGAATGATTTAAGAAGATAGATATAAATAAATAATTAAGAAAATAAATAAATACATAAGTGAAGGAAATTGTGGACAAGAGGGACAAATAGACCTTATACAGATTTGGAAGACATGGTGAGGGTTTTTGTTTTAGCCCTGATTGAGATGAAAGTCTTTGGGAAGGTGTTACAAAGAACAGTGACTATCAGTCTGAATTTTATTTATTTATTTTTATTATTTCCACTTTCTTTTTTAAGATTTATTTTTTATTTATATAAGAGCTGGGGTATAGGCCAGAGGCACGGGAGGGTAGAAGATTCACCAGAGACAGAGTGGGGAGCAGAACAGGCAGATGGACTGAAAGCACTGCTGAGGGGAGCAGCGGGTGAGACAGGAGAGGTCTGCTGTGCCACGTGGGAATCTCTCTGGCCAGCTGGGAATGGAACCCACACTGAGGAGGCTGCGGACAACTTCACAGTGCTGCGCTCAACCCTCTGTGGCACTGGGGAGGCCCTCAGTCTGAATTTTAGCACCAGTACATCTTTTTGAATTTTTCTAGGAGGGGCTGTGAGGCTGAAGAAGGCCGTTTTACATCAGGTTGTTTCCTACATAAGGCTGCATTCTCGGAATGTTTGTGTAATCTTTTCTCTCTGAAATAGATTTGATGATTTAGATGGTTTTTGGTGAAATTGTGGCTTTTGTTCTGGCCATATTTAATTCACAGCTTCCTTTTGTAAGTTTGTTAAATTTACAAAAATAGCAGATGGGAGCTGTGAAATTCTGTTTCTCACAGATATTCTTGATTTTGTTAATGCTACTTTTGCCCACACTTAAATTTTGAAGGAAATTTCAAGTAGGGAAATATCTTTTGTCTTATAAAGGTTTGACAACTAATATACAACCTCTTTCATTGGCTAAATTACAAATTGACCTTTCATATATCATCATATGGATAATGGTAGCTCTCAGTGATGTTATGTTTAAAGTCCAAGAATGGTGATATTTGAATCATGAAAATTTAATGATAATGTAAAGCTAAAGTCTAATTGGCTTTAATTCCCATTTGCGAATTGAAAGTTTTTCTGATGTAAAATAATGTTCTTCCCTCCCCTTTTAGTCTAAAGCACTGAGAATCTCCACACCACTTACTGGTGTGAGGTACATTAAGGATAACAGCCCTTGTGTGACTCCAGTCTCTACTGCGACACATAGCTTGAGTCGTCTTCACACCATGCTAACAGGCCTCAGGAATGCACCAAGTGAGAAACTCGAACAGATTCTAAGGTTAGTTTGAGCCCTTTTTGCCTTCTAAGATTAGGTTGTTGACCATTTTCCAATTTTTTATTTAAAATTTTCACTATTAATGCCTTCATTCACAGATTAATAATTGTATATCATTTGCATGCTTAGTCCTGTTGTTAATCTGTAGAAGATGTAGCAGTAACAGAAGAGGTATGAATAGGTGATGGTGATTTTTCTTAGCTTCTTAGTCTGTTTGGGCTACTATTACAGAATGTCATAGACTGGGTGGCTTTTAAATAGCAAACATTCATTTCTCACAGTTCTGGAAACACCAGCAAATTCAGTGTTTGTTGATACCTGCCTCCTGGTGCATATGTAGCTGTCTCTTTCCTGTGTCTTCACATGGCAGAAGGAGGCTAGGGGATTCTCACTGGCATCTCTTTTATAAGGGCACTAGTCCCATTCATGAGACTTCCACCCTCGTGACCTAATCATTTCCCAAAGGCCAGCACCTTGGGGGTGAGGTTTAATTTGGGGGGAGGGAGACACACACACTCAGTCCTTAGCTGAATATAGTACGGGAGACAGAAACCTAACAATACTACATACTCTAGAACAAACCACCCGATTGTTATAACTGTTCTAAGATTTCAGAGATAGAGGGCTGGGAATTGAGTGGAGATAGTTGTCAGAGGACTTCATCAAGAGGATTGGACCTGAGCAAATCTCAAGGGTTGGGTCATATCTGGACATGCAGACAGAGTTATAGTCATATCCATTATAAAACCACTGTAACATTTGTAATCTCTATGAAACATCCTTAGCCTGGAAAGGAAGTTAACTGTCTTTCATTCCTTTGATCTGCCTGATACTGGTAGGGATAGCAGTGAGCTTTATGAAAAGCACAGTAGACGGACCCTCAATGCCTGTGCATAATTATTGGCAGCTTTATTTGAAAAATTACCTCCAAGGCCCCTCCTAGTCTTAAAAGTTTATGAATTGATGGTACAGACCCTATAGAAGCCTATTTTATTTCTGGTCAGGTAGTTTAAGAAGGACCTGTGTACATATAGTAGTGATTTCCCATTTATAGCTAGACTCATTAAATGCCAAGACTGACTGATTTGCTTGTGCATTTTCAGGAAGTTTTCTTTATTCATAAACTTGACTATAGTTAACAGCCAGCAATCTATGTCTATATAATCTCCTCCTAAATCATGTTTCTTGAATGGACCTTTTTAACCTAGGTTTGGAAGTCTCTCTCAATCTCTGTATCTTCCAGATCTCTTTACAGTCTCTTAGCAGGCACAGTAACCTCTCTGATCTTAAATACTATTAGTGGGATTAAATAATACCAGTACGTACTACTTAAAATCAAAGGGTCCTGTTTTTGTAGAAAGGTACGTGTGCATTCAGAAAATAAAATTCTGCTTGCATAAGATATTTGACAGCTATCTCTAGTAGGATTATGACTTTTTAAATTCTCTTTATAATTTTCTAAACTTACTCCATTTTTATGACTGTATAATTATGATCACGATAACAACATAGTTGTCACAAAAGCCCACATGGGCTTCTGCATTGAACAAAGATTGCCTTTCTTTAAAAAATATATCTGGGCCTCCCCGGTGGCGCAGTGGTTGAGCGCTGGGTTGCAAAGCTGCCCGCAGCCTCTGCGGCGCCGGTTCGATCCCCGGCTGCTCCCCGGCCACCGGAGGAGGGTCCCACATGGCGCACAGACCTCTCCTGCCGCCCGCTGCTCCCCTCAGCAGTGTACTTCGGTCCTTCTGCCTGCTCTGCTCCCCGCTCTGGCTCTGGTGAATTCTCTCACCCTCCCGCGCTTCGGACTGTACCCAGTGCATGTATAAACAAAACAAACAAATAAACAAATAAAACATGCCTCTATTAAAAAAAAAAATTAAAAAAAAAATTAAAAATTAAAAAAAAAATCTATGAAATATATCTTGTTTTGAAGGAAAAAATGTAGAGTGCCAGTAATGGCTTACATGAATTTGCTCTATGGATTATATACTGCTTCATTCTACTTTCTCCCTCTTCTTAAGGGGAGTTGTATTTCCCTCTAGGGGAACATTTGAGGCAATTTTGTTGCTGTTAGTGACTGCAGAGGTGTAGGGTAAGTGGGGCCTGTCGTGGGCACTGGTCAGGTTGCTAAACTCAGTGCTGTAAAAAGTACAGCTTCCTACAAAATATACTTTTTTTTCCCTCTCAAAATGGTAACATGAATACTTATGATAAAGAAATGTGGGATCTCTTGGATTAACTTGGGAAGTATGTAGTTTCTGTTCAAATAATTTTGTATTTACAGAATAGTAAAATGACAGTTAAAAACAGCTTACTGCTTTGTGACTTGGCAAAACTTTTCAATAAGATAATTACTTCTCTCTTTAGGACATGTTCACGAGACCCAACCGAAACTATTGCCAACAGATTGAAAGAAATGTATGAAATATATTCTCAGCACTCCCAGGCAGATGAGGATTTCGGTAACTGTGCAAAAGGTAAAGCTTAATATTGTCCATATTGCTATGTCTTTGACGCTTAACTCCGTGGAGTCTTTTCTTGGTAACTGAGTCGGAAATACGAGGACAAGATTATGACTTTAGACTATGGGTTAGAATACGGCTGTCTAATTTTTCTGTCACGCAGGTTATTTTGGCTACTTCTTGGTAAGAAAGTTATAGTAGAGCTTACCTTTAATGTGTTGGACTTGTGGTACTTTTTGTCTGCCAAACTGTTCATTTTCATTTACAGACTGGATAGTAAATATGGAAGTGTATATATTGGAAGAGTTGGATTGGTTTTTAAATTTTATATTGTGAATGGAGGTGGGGAGAGGGATGGGCCCTCATTTTCCACAGTATTTTTTTTGTGTGTAATTTTTGTGGGTTTTTTTTTTTTTTTTATACAGAAATTGCCAGCAAACATTTTCGTTTTGCAGAGATGCTTTACTATAAAGTATTAGAATCTGTTATTGAGCAGGAACAAAAAAGACTGGGAGACATGGATTTATCTGTGAGTAAATAATCAATGTGTTGATCAGCATAATAAAATGTAGTTCTTTCCAGCCCTACCTACCCAATGCTCCCCCCCCAAAAAAGAAGCCATTATTGAAGAAATAATGTATGGCTTTGAGAGAATAAAGATTGTTACTAAGAAACTATTTTGAGCTTTCTCAGCTCCAGTTCCCTCACTGCAGCAGGTCTTCTGTTCTAACTTACCATTTGTGTGGGTAGTGAGACTCTAGTCAAGGATTAAAACAGTCTAACTTAGCCTCAGTTGAGTTTATAAATAAATTTTTATTGAAGCCCTTTATTGCAAGAATAAATAGAAATTGAATATTGCCTAGATGGAATTTTATTTTATTATTATTTTTTAAAAGATTTTACTTATTTATGCATATAAGAACTGGGGTACCCCAGGCCAGAGGTGTGGAGAGGTGAGAGGATTCACCAGAGAAAGAGTGGGGAACAGAACAGGCGGATTGACTGAAATGCACTGCTGAAGGGAGCAGTGGGCTAGTCAGGAGAGGTCTGCTGCGCCATGTGGGTAGCTTCCTGGCCTCGTGCTGCAGCAGCTGCAGATAGCTTCATAGGTTGCGTCTTAACTTGCGCCACCAGGGAGGCCCACCTAGATGGAATTTAAACACAAATAGTCAACCTTTCCTCTTTAGTTCACATAATTTTTTCCTAGTCAAGAAATGTAAATTTATTTTTTTTTAAATTTTTTTATTTTTTAAAAGATTTATTTATTTATTTATTTATACAAGCACTGGGTACAGTCAGAAGCGCGGGAGGGGGAGAGAATTCACCAGAGCCAGAGCGGGGAGCAGAGCAGGCAGAAGGACCGAAGTGCACTGCTGAGGGGAGCAGCGGGCGGCAGGAGAGGTCTGCGCGCCATGTGGGACCCTCCTCCGGTGGCCGGGGAGCAGCTGGGGATCAAACTGGCGCTGTAGAGGCCGCGGGCAGCTTCGCAACCCAGCGCTCAACTGCTGCGCCACCGGGGAGGCCCTGTAAATTTATTTTTAAACACATGATTTTTACTCTTAAGGGTAATAAATAGTAATAAAACAAATTTTTAAGTTAAATTTTAAATAAAATTATCAAATTGATGAATAATTGTTCAGTTTCTTACAACTGTATATGCCTTTTTTTTAAAGATTTATTTGTTTATGCATATAGAACTGGGGTGCAGGCCAGAGGTGTTGGGTGGTGAGAGGATTCACCAGAGACAGAGTGGGGAACAGAACAGGCAGATTGACTGAAATACACTGCTGAGGAGAGCAGCGGGTGGATAGGAAAGTTCTGCTGCATCATGTGGGTCAGCTCCTTGGCCGGGGATCAAACTCGTGCTGCAGTAGCTGCGGACAGCTTCATAGTGCTGTGCTTAACCCATTGCTCCACCAGGGAGGCCCTATATATGCCTTTTTAATATATAAAAATATGACTGTAGGAATTAAAGACTTTTATGACAAGTTTTTTAAATGTGAAACATGTAAAGAGAGGTATAAAACAGCTGTAATTCAGAGGCTATATACTCACCCAAAAAACTTAAAAAAAATTTTTTTTTGTGATGAAATATAACGTAAAATTTATCATCTTCAGTTGCACTTTAATGACACTGAGTAGAAAATGAGGGCAAGTTTCTTATTTTTTTTTTTAAGATTTATTTTTATTTTTTATGCAAGAGCTGGGGTACAGGCCAGAGGTGCGGGAAGGTGAGAGGATTCACCAGAGGCAGAGCAGGGAACAGATCAGGCAGATGACAGAAATACACACTGCTGAGGGGAGCAGCGGGTGTGACAGGAGAGGTCTGCTGTGCCATGTGGGATTCTCGCCGGCGAGCCGGGATTGAACCCATACTACAGAGGCTGCAGACAGCTTCACAGCATGGTGCTCAACCAGCTGTGCCAAAAGGCAGGCCCTGGTTTTTTTTTTTTAAAGATTTATTTATTTATGCATAAAAGAGCTAGGTTGCAGGCCAGAAATGTAGGGGGTGAGAGGATTAACCAGAGACAGAATGGGAAGCAGAACAGGTAGACTGACTGAAATCCACTGCTGAGGGGAGCAGCAGGCGAGACAGAAGAGATCTGCTGCACCATGTGGGTAGCTCCCTGGCTGGCTGCAGAGGCTGCAGATAGCTTCACAGTGCAGTGCTTAACCCCTTGCGCCACCAGGGAGGCCCAGCATAATGTTTTTTTGTTTTTGTTTTTGTTTTTAATTTTTTTTATTTTAACATTTATCATTTTTTACATTTTTTTAGACAATATTTGCTTCCCCCCACCCCTTCAGATTGAGTCCCCATAGAATTTCCTTCTCCAGGGCACCCGTGCACCATCACCACAGTCCCCTGTGCTCTTCCCTCCCTCCCTCCCTCCCACCCTCTCCTCCTCTTCCCCTGCAGGATGTCTCTGGTTTATCATTGTCTGTTTTTGCTTTGCGTTTTATACTGTTATTATTTTTTTTTACACTGATATCTTATTTGGTTCCTCTATATTCCTGTTATAAGTGATACCATCCGATATTTTTCTTTTTCCTTCTGGCTTATTTCACTGCGCATAATTCCTTCTAGCTCCATCCACGTTGCTGCGCATGGCATGAGTTTATCTTTTTTGATTGCTGAGTAATATTCCATTGTGTATATATGCCACATCTTCTTGATCCAGTCATCTATTTTTGGGCATTTGGGTTGTTTCCAGGTTTTACCTATTGTGAATAGTGCTGCAGTAAGCATATGGGTAAAGGTGTTCTTTTGAATCACTGTTTTTGAGTCCTTTGGGTCGGTCCCTAAGAGTGGAATTGCTGGATAGTACGGTAGCTCCATTTTTAGTAGACTGAGGAACCTCCAGACAGCTTTCCACAGTGGTTGGACCAGTTTGCACTCCCACCAGCAGTGCAGGAGAGTTCCTTTTTCACTGCATCCTCACCAACATTTGTTGTTGCTAGTTTTTTTGATATGTGCCATTCTCACTGGTGTAAGGTGGTATCTCAGTGTGATTTTGATTTGCATTTCCCTGATTATAAGGGAGGTTGAACATTTTTTCATATGCCTGTTGGCCGTTTGCATTTCCTCTTTGGAGAAATGTCTTTTGAGTTCTGCCTATTTCTTGACTGGATTGTTTATTTTTTGTTGTTGTTGAGCTATGTGAGTTCTTTTATATCATTGTGATCAGTCCCTTATCAGTTGGATGGAGTGCAAACAGTTTGTTCAATAAATGGTGCTGGGAAAACTGGACCTCCACATGCAAAAAAATGAAACTAGACCACTACCTCTCACCGTGCACAAAAATCGACTCAAAATGGATAAAAGAACTGGACATAAGACCTGAAACCATAAAATATATGGAAGAAAATACAGGTAAAACACTACAAGACATACATCTCAGAAACGTCTTTAAAGACTCATCACCCAAAGCTGTGATAGTGAAGGCAAAGATAAACAGCTGGGATTGCATCAAACTGAAAAGATTCTGCACAGCAAAAGAGACATTAACCAAAACAGAGAGACACCCCACTGATTGGGAAAAAATCTTTGCACTCCATCCAGCATAATGTTTTTAAGGTTCACCCATGTTATAGTATGTATCAGAATTTTATTCCTTTTTAAGACTGAATAATATTCATTATATTTATATATCACCAACATTTTGTTTATTCATCTTTCTACTGATGGACATTTGATTGTTTCTACCTTTTGGCTAATATGAGTAACTGTTATGAGCACAAGTGTCTGTGTCTCTGCCTTCAATTCTTTTAGTGCAGTTGCTGGATCATAGGGTAATTACATGTTGAACTTTTTTGCGTTAAACATATTTCCACAGTGCTGCACCATCCACAGTGCACAGGGGTTCCAATTTCTTCACATCCTTGTAACACTTGTTTCCATTTTTTTTATAACATTCATTCTGATGGGTGCAAAATGGTATCTTATGGCACTTTTGATTTGCATTCTCACGACTGTTGATGTTGAGCATCTTTCATGTGCTTGTTGGCCCTTTTTCTATCTTTTGGGGGGGAAATGTCTATTCAGGTCCTTCACCCATTTTTGAATTGGGTTTGCTTTTCTGTTGTCAGACTACGGGAGTTCTTTATGTCTTCTCGATATTAATCCTTCATTAGGTGATTTGAAAATATTTTTTCCCATTCTATGGGTCATCTTTTCACTTAGTGAATAGTTTCCTTTGATACATTAAGATTTTTAATTTTGATGAAGATCAGTTTTTTTTTCTCTTTTAATGTTTAACTTTAATTCAGAAATAATGTTAATGTATAACTTTGGAAAAATTAATGTGCAAAATAAATTAAAATCATGTGATTATGTCACCTGAGATAAACATGCTGACTTTTGCTCCATGATCATCTAGCTAGTTGCCTCCATCTCTGCCTTCCATTCCTTATGAGAGTGGCCATTCATTGTAAATACTGTTTTGTGACATCTTTCCAAGTCATTATTCTTCTGAGCATCAGTTGTATGTATTTTGGTAGGGAATGTTTTTGTTAGCTATATTTCACAATATGTGAGGCTTCAAAAATTTCTTCTACATTTGCCTTTTTTTTCTAATAATAAATGGACTTATAAAAAATGTTTTATAAGAAAATAGGTACTGGACCTTCCTGGTGGCGCAGGTGGTTGAGCGCCGCACTGTGAAGCTGTCTGCAGCCTCTGCAGTGCGTGTTTGATCCCTGCCGGCCGGCCGGCGAGGATCCCACATGGCGCGGCAGACCTCTCCTGTCATGCCCGCTGCTCCCCTCCGCAGTGTATTTCGTCACTCTGCCTGTTCTGTTCCCTGCTCTGTCTCCGGTGAATCCTCTCGCCCTCCCACACATCTGGCCTGTATCCCCCGACTCTTGTATAAAAATAAATCTTTAAAAAAAAAAAAAAATATTTTCACTCACCCAGAAGGTAAGACTTCCTTTGATATTTTTACTTAACTTGGGTATGAAATGTCTTATTAGAGTAGGCTAATGTTTCTGTATGCTAATAACTTTTTTATAGGGCATTCTGGAACAAGATGCATTCCACAGATCACTCTTGGCCTGTTGCCTTGAGGTCGTCACGTTTTCTTATAAGCCTCCTGGGAATTTTCAGTTCATTACTGAAATATTTGGTGTGCCACTTTATCACTTTTATAAGGTATCTTTTAACATCTGATAATTATGAAGAAACTGTAGATGAGACAAATTTCCTGTTGCTGTTCACCTATTATGTTCATGAACCTAATAGTTATTATGTACATTTCTTTGATTTTTAATTATATACTTAATCATCTCCACTCTATTTGGGGAACAGAGTTAGATTCTTAAGAACTATACAGATTCTTTTAACTATAAAGAGCTTTTTTGTGTAAAACCTTCATTGATTCCTCCCTTTATCTGATAAAGGCTTTTAGAATACTGTCATTTTATGAGCTAAAAGAACACTTAAAATAGCAAACATATTACTAGTTATTCTTGTGTAGTACCCTTCTCTTCTATTTTATATGGAAATTAAGTAATGCAAAAGTATTTCATAGAAAAGTGAAAATTCTCATTCATATATTGAGATACACAGAGTCAGAGCGTTGATTTAGTAGTTGTTTTCTTGATACTGATTTAGCATAACTCTACTGTATGAGAGTGAAAACTATTTTTTATGGTGGCATTAAGTGAATGTTAAGAGTTTTTAAACAGGAAATTTTAAAGTAATGTTTTCAACCTTAAGAGACAAAGCATGATTTTTAATTAAATAGTAAAGAGCAGCTATTTCAAAATAGTACTAATCTCTACTAATCTCTGCCCTTGTTATTTTTGACAAATTGTTCAATCTATAAATATACAGGAAATATTTGAATAAATTTACCAACTTTGCTTTCACAGTTAATAAAAAAATATTTTGTAAAATGTTATCATTTTCAAACTAGGGCATTTCTCTGTTTCAGGTGATAGAAGTATTTATTAGAGCAGAAGATGGTCTTTGTAGAGAGGTGGTAAAACACCTTAATCAGATTGAAGAACAGATATTGGATCATTTGGCGTGGAAACCAGAGTCTCCACTCTGGGACAGAATTAGAGACAATGAAAACAGAGTACCAACCTGCGAAGAGGTAGCGAGAACCATCTCCTTTCTCTAAACCAAACACACATCTATCTGTAGTCTATTCAGAATCCTCTTTCACAGAGAGCAGTTAACCTTAGTGTCTTCTGTATGCGGGTGTCAGCTGGGGTAGTAAGTATGATGCAGTCACCTCTGTATCTAAGAAGCAACTTGAGTCAGAAATAATTTGTGATAACTCCAGTGGCTCAGTGACAAGTAGACTTCTCTGTTCTGTATTGATTTCCTAATTGTGTTTCTGTATTTTAGAATAGTTGATATTTTAATTCTCCAAATTTGTAATGAAAGTTGATTTATACTTAGTATCCAATAATTAGATTTTGAATTTGTAAGTAAGCCCAGAATTTTTTAAACTTTAGAATGAAAGTTGAAAAGATAGCAGATTTTACTTGGTTGGAATAACTGATGAGCCAAGATAGTTTTCTTATGCCTCAGATTATTTCTACTGAAAATGCTTTTTTCAATAGTGACACACTGTGTAACAATATTGTATAGGTCATGCCACCTCAGAACCTGGAAAGAGCAGATGAAATTTGTATTGCTGGCTCCCCTTTGACACCGAGAAGGGTGAGTGAAATTCGTGCTGATACTGGAGGACTTGGAAGAAGTAAGTCTGATATGTCAGGGGGAACATTTTGGGACCTAATATCTGGGGATTTACAATCAACCTAAAATTATAAGTGAAGTTAATAGGGCCTAAAAGAAAACATTCTATGCATCTTGGAGTCACACAGGTCATTTGAAAGTCATACTTTGGAGGGATTTTTCAAACACAGGAAAATGCATGCCATAACGAGTATCTTTAAAAAAGATACTGTATATGAACTTGATTCCTGTATTTTAAGTGTATATCTATATCCAAGGACACAAAAGGGTTAAAATGGTAAAACCAAATTATTAAGAATGACTGTTGTTGGGTGATGGGATTCCAGCTGATTGCTTTAAAATTTAAGATGAATTTGCATTATTTTTAAAACCAGAAGAAATAGGAAAGCTTCTTCTTCTTTTTTTAAATATACAAGCACTGGGTACAGTCAAAAGCGCGGGAGGGTGAGAGAATTCACCAGAGCCAGAGCAGGGAACAGAACAGGCAGACCGATGAAATACACTGCTGAGGGGAGCAGCGGGCGCCGCAGGAGAGGTCTGAGCCCCACGTGGGACCCTCGCTGGCGGTCGGGGATCGAACCAGCACTGCAGAGGCTGTGGGCACCTTCGCAGCCCAGCTCTCAACCTCTGCACCACCAGGGAGGTCCAGGAAAGCTTAAAGAGACTTGATATCCAATTCTGTATAGACAAACCAGTAAGTTAAATGGACTGATTGGCCTGAGTAAGTTCAGCTTTGTTTCCTGTCACTTGAGCTGTGCTACTCTGGTGAATGTGACAGCAGAGCTGGCCAATAAATGCATAAAAGGGAGATTTTGCTCTTGGTTACATTTTAGGCAGTACTTTAGAACATCTGTTTGGTTCAAGATTTTAGTTTACATACTTGAGATAAAAAAAATTTCAAATATTTATATATACGTGTTTTACATTATTGTTCATTTTTGTAGAATATTTGCTTTCTCCTCTCAGGTGTGGTCCCCATAAAAATCCCACCACCAGTTCACCTATGAACCATCACCCTAGTCCCTTGTGCTCTTCCCTCCCCTATAAAACTACTTTTTAAAAAGCAATTCCATAAATGTAAAGTTCTAAATCCTTAGATACCACTAGAAAGCTATTGTTTCTAGATCAACTTTCTGATGTAATTGATATGTACTGGCTAAAGGAAAAAGATCAATTGTTAAAGTCAGGAATCATTCTGTCAGTGCATCATTAAATATGGAAAATGTATATGAAAAATCCTCCTTAAAAAAAAATCCTTTTTTAAAATATTTTATTTATTTATGCATACAAGAACTGGGGTGCAGGCCAGAGGTGTGGGGGGTGAGAGGATTCGCCAGAGACATAGTGGGGAGCAGGACAGGCAGATTGACTGAAACACACTGCTGAGGGGAGCAGCGGGTAAGAAAGGAGAGATCTGCTGTGCCATGTGGGTCAGCTCCCTGGCTGGGGATCGAACTCATGCCACAGTGGCTGGTGGTAGCTTAAGTGCCCTGAGACTTTAACCCCTGTGCCACCAGGGAGGCCCAAAAAAATCCTCATAATGGCTTTTGCTTATTATTCCCTCAGAACTGTATATTTACCAGGGGTCATTCCTCAGTGCTATTCCGTAGTTTTTCCTTCAGTAACTTATGTGTTAGGGCTTGACTTTAAACTTCATTTTCTTTGTACATACTTTTCGATTTTCTTGGGGTCTCTTTTTTCTTTGCTTTTATTTATATATATTTTACATCATTGTTCATTTTTAAACAATGTTTGCTTTTTTTTTTGCCCCCTCAGGTATAGTCCCCAAAGAATTTCCTTCCCCAGTGCACCCATGAACCATTACCACAGTCCCCTGAGCTCCTGCCTCCCTCCCTCTGATCCCCCTACCTTCTTCTCCCCCGCAGGATGTCTCTGGTTTATAATTGTCTGTTTGTTTTTGTTTTGTTTTGTTGTATTTTGTATTGTTACTATTTTTCCCCTCTGATGTCTTATTTAGTTCCCCTATATTGCTCCTACAAGTGAAACCATCCATTATTTTTCTTTTTCCTTCTGACTTATTTCACTGAGCATAATTCCTTTCTAGCTCCATCCAGCTATGGAGCTACCATATGACCCAGCAATTCCATGCCTAGGGATCTACCCAAAGGACACAAAAACATTGATTCAAAAGAACACCTGTACCCCTATGTTTACTGCAGTACTAGTTACAAAAGGTAAAACCTGGAAACAACCCAAATGCCCCAAAATAGATGACTGGATCAAGAAGATATGGTACATATACTTAATGAAATACTATTGAGCAATCAAAAAAGATTAATGCCATTCTTAAGGTATCTTAACACCTTCCAAGAAAATAATCATAATGCATTCTTTCTGACTGCAGCTTTCGTTCAAATCAGCTCTAATACAAAATCTATTTGCTTTTATATTATCAGGAATTTGAAATGTTAAACCATGTCTGTCAGGACTTAATTCCTGTCAGTCCTCTTATGATCTCCTTATATATTTTTTAAAATTTTAAAAACGTACTGATTTGTAGTTTGTATACATGTACATGGAAGACAGAAAGGAATGTTTGCTTCTCAAAAAATTCAGATGTTGGTATGAATACTTTAACATAGACTGAATCATAATGGTTAATAGAGTTTCTGCTTGAAACTATAGCTTTGGAAATAGTGATGATTGCACGATATTGTAATGTAATTAATGGCACTGAATTGTACAGTTTAAAATGGTAAGTTCAGGGCCTCCCTGGTGGCAAGGCGGTTGAGCGCTGGGTTGCGAAGCTGCCCGCAGCCTCAGCAGCGCCGGTTCGATCCCTGGCTGCTCCCAGGCCATCGGAGGAGGATCCCACATGGTGCACAGACCTCTCCTGCCACCCGCTGCTCCCCTCAGCAGTGTACTTCGGTCCTTCTGCCTGCTCTGCTCCCCGCTCTGGCTCTGGTGAAGTCTCTCACCCTCCCGCGCTTCTGACTGTACCCAGTGCTTGTATAAATAAATAAATAAATCTAAAAAAAAAAAAAAAAGGTAAGTTCAAAATTATGTTATATATATTTTCCGCAGTTACAAAAAAAATGTAATATGCCAAATCATTGAATTGTTCAGTAGTTTTTTTTTAATTTAAATGGGTGAAATATATGTGAATTATATCTCAATAAACTTGCTTTAAAAAAATAATAAACTTACTTGGAAAGCAGCAGTGCTCATCACTATACCACTAACGCCTCTAACTATACTTACTTGAATCCAAAACACGTATGACCATTCTCCCTGAAAATTATTGAGTCATAGTAATTTTCTAAATGTGGAGAAAGACAAACATGGAAATACATAAAACTGGGAGAAAATGCACCAGATGATACCATAATAATATCAAGTCCCTTCAACAAGTAGTGTCTTTACAGTAAAATGATGTATTAGCATTAGGATGAAATTGAATATAGTCAAAAATATCAGAGAAGTAGGTTAATTCTTTAAGTTGCCCCTAAATCATTAAAGTTCTGTAGTAGCAGAAGGGAAAGTCCAGTTGGATTTAGCAGAAGGTGGAGTGAAAAAGGGAATATTCTTTGACAAAGAGAAAATACCTGTTTAAAGATTTTGCTCTTAATGTTGAGTTGAATTTTCGTTAGGTGAGCGTAGCTATGATATGACTCCTGGAATGTTTGTTTGCTTTTTAAGTTATAAAGTATTTCAAACACTGTAATGAGGTTTGAACATCGCAGCTGGAATGGACGTCAGATCTCAGCCTTACTGAGTTAAATGATTGCTTTGCTGTTTCTCTGACCCTAGGCGTAACATCTCCAACCACGTTGTATGACAGGTATAGCTCCCCCACAGCCAGCTCTACCCGAAGGCGGCTATTCGTTGACAATGATGGCCCCTCTGAAGGAGGGACATCAGGACGCACCCCCCCACAGCCTCTAGTCAATGCTGTCCCTGTGCAGAGTGTATCTGGGGAGGCTGTTTCTGTCACACCAGTTCCTGGACAGACTTTGGTTACCATGGCAACAGCCACTGTCACAGCCAACAATGGACAAACAGTGACCATTCCTGTACAAGGTAAGGAAGGCAGAGTTGGATGAGTTCTTTCTCTGTGGCATTTATTGGAAAACTACCTGTGGCTTGGCTGGAGGGACAATAGGAAAGGAGTGGAGGTAAAAAGTTGTTGGGAGCTGAGAAGTTGGATCCCTCAGCCTGGAGAACCTTGTGTCACCAAATTTTCTTCATGCTTTTCCCCTTGTAACAACTCACAGGTATTGCCAATGAAAATGGAGGGATAACATTCTTCCCAGTCCAAGTCAATGTTGGGGGGCAGGCACAAGCAGTGACTGGCTCCATCCAGCCTCTCAGCGCTCAGGCCCTGACTGGGAGTTTGAGCTCTCAGCAGATGACAGGAACAACCTTACAAGTCTCCGGTCAGGTGGCCATTCAGCAGATTTCCCCAGGAGGACCACAGAAGAAACAGGGACAGCCTTTAACCAGCAGCAGTATTAGACCCAGGAAGACCAACTCTTTATCACTTTTTTTTAGAAAGGTAATTTTTCATTCTCCTTACCAGGAGGTGAGTTTGAAAAATTTAAGTGTTTAGATAAACAGTATCTGAAATGTTATATTTATCTGCTAGGTTTACCACTTAGCTGGTGTCCGCCTTCGGGATCTTTGTGCTAAATTGGATATTTCAGATGAACTGAGGAAAAAAATCTGGACCTGCTTTGAATTCTCCATAATTCAGTGTCCTGAACTTATGATGGACAGACACCTGGACCAGTTGTTAATGTGTGCCATTTATGTGATGGCAAAGGTGAGTACAATTTGGTCTCAGCACACTTTTAAATAGCTTTTTTTTTTTTCCAATTTTTTTTTTTGAAGACTTATTTATTTTTATACGAGAGATGGGGTACAGGCCAGAGGTGCGGGAAGGTGAGAGGATTCACCAGAGACAGAGCAGGGAACAGAACAGGCAGACGGACCAAAATACACTGCTGAGGGGAGCAGCGGGCAAGGCAGGAGAAGTCTGCTGCACCATGTGGGAATCTTCTCAGCTGACCAGGATCAAACCCACGCTGCAAAGGCTGATAACAGCTTCAGGGCGCTGTGCTCAACCCGCTCCGCCACCGGGGAGGCTCTTAAATAACTTTATTGAGATAGAATTCATGTACTCTGTAATTTAAAGTGTGCAACTCAGTAGATTTTAGTATGTTCATAAATATGTGCAGCTAACATCAGTAGTTTTAGAACTTTATATTCCATTGTATGAATATGATGTTCTGTTTCTCCATTGTCTGGTTGGTGGATTTTGGTTTGTTTTCACTTCGATGTATTACGAATAATGCTGCTCTGAGTGTTCGTGTAGAGCTTTGCATGGACATGTTTTCTTTTCTCTTTGAAATGGAGGGTAGATTTCTGTATTATATTGTAGGTACTTAACCATTTGAGGAACTGCCCACGTGTTTCCCAAAGTCACTGCCCTATTTTATATTCCCACCGGCAGTATGTCAAAGTCCTGATTTTATTGTCTGACTTTTTTTTTAAATAATTCACATAACATAAAATTAGCCATTATCATCTTTGGAGAAATATGTTTATATCCTTTGCCCATATTTGAATTGGGTTGTAGGAGTTCTTTTTTTTTTTTTTTTTAAGATTTATTTATTTATGCATACAAGAGCTGGGGTGCAGGCCAGAAATGCAGGGGGGTGAGAGGATTCACCAGAGACAGTGGGGAGCAGAACAGGCAGATACTGAAATACACTCTTGAGGGGAGCAGTGGACGAGACAGGAGAGGTCTGCTGCACCATCCATGTGGGTTGTTCCTGGATGGTGGGGAATGGGGGGTGTCGAACTTGTGCTGCCATGGCTGGCAATAGCTTGATTGTGCTGTCTTTAACCCCTGTGCCACCAGGGAGGCCCAGGTTGTGGGAGTTCTTTATATATTATGGATACAATTCCTTGATCAGATGTGATTTATAATATTTTCTCTCTATTATCTTTTCACTTACTTGATACTGTTACTTGAAGTTTGTTTTAAATTTTGATGGTCAAATTTTTTCTTTTGTTGCTTCTGCTTTCTGTCTTATTTGTGTCACATTTTTGTGATTACATTGCCAAATCCAAGGTCATTGGAGATTTACTCATGTTCTCTTCTAAGGATTTTCTCTTTCACGTGTAAGTCTGATCCGTTGGACTGAATTCTGAGGTGAGGGGAGCCTCACTCCCGTGTTGGGCTCTGCTGTTGTCCAGCACAGTTGTTAAGAAGACCGCTCTTTCTCCATGGATGGTCTTGACTCCCCTGTCAAAAATCAGTTTACCGCAGACCATTTAGTTGACCACAAAGCGTGTATTTCTGGACTCTCACTCATAACTATCTTTATACACTACTGTATTCTCTTGATTGCTGCTGCTGTGATGTAAGTTTTGAGATTAAGTTCTCCTTATCTTTCCAAGGTTACTTTGGCTGGTCTGAGTCCTTTGAAATTCTTTGTGAATTTTACATCAGCTTGTCACTTTCACAAAGCACTCAGTTGGGGTTCTGGTACAGATTGTATTGAATGTACAGAACAGTTTGGGAGAGTATTGCCATCTTCACAATTTTTCATCCTTCAATCTATGCACATAGGATATTTTTTCCATATAGTTAGATCATCTTTAATTTATTTAAACAATGTTTTGGAGTTTTCATAGTACAACTTTTGGACTTCTTTTGTTAACTATATTCCTATGTATTCTTTTTGATGCTATTATAAATGCAGTTGTTTCAGTTCTGATATGCTCATTGTAAGTGTAAGTACAGATGGTTGGTTCTCATTTAGCAAACTCCTTAGGGTTTTTATATATGTCATGTAACCTTACTGTTTAAACTGAATACTTTTATTTCTTTTCTAATTACTCTGACTAGAATCTCCAGTGCAATGTTGAATAGAAGTGTTAAGAGTAGAAATGCTTGTCTTGATCTCAAGAGGAAAGACCATAGTCTTTTCACCATTAAAATCATACTAGCTTATTTTTTTTTAAAGATTTATTTATTTATTTGTGTATACAAGCACTGGGTACAGTCAGAAGCCCAGGAGGGTGAGAGGATTCACCAGAGCCAGAGTGGGGAGCAGAGCAGGCAGAAGGACCGAAGTACACTGCTGAGGGGAGCAGCGGGCGGCAGGAGAGGTCTGTGTGCCATGTGGGTCCCTCCTCCGGTGGCCAGGGAGCAGCCGGGGATCGAACCAGTGCTGCAGAGGCTGTGGGCAGCTTTGCAACCCAGCGCTCAACCGCTGCGCCACCGGGGAGGCCCGATACTAGCTAATTTTTTTTTCATGGATGCCTCTATCAAGTTGAGGAAATTGTCCAATGCTTTTTCTGCATCTTTTGAGATGGTTACAATGATTTATTAGTCTACTGATATATGGTACATTACCTTGATTTTCATCTGGTAAACTAGCTTTGAGTCCCATGTTGTTAGGGTGTATAATTCTTTTTATATGTTGTTAGGTTTGGTTAGCATTTTGTCAAGGAATTTAGTTTTAGTCATAAAAGTAATGGTCTATAGGCTTCTTGGTATGGCTTTGTCTGGCTTCTTTGTGGGGGTAACCTGGGACTCATCTAGTGCGTAGGGAAGTGTTACTTTCTCTTCTGTTGTTTTTTGAAAGTTTGTGAAGAATTGGTATTCTTCTTCAGGTGTTTGGTAGAATGTAGCAGGGAAGCCATGAGGGCTGCACTTTTCTTTGTGGGTATTTTGTTGACAAATAATTCAATCTTGTTATATATCTATTCAGATCGTCTATTCTGGTGTCAGGTTTGGCAGTGTTTTTCTAGGAATTTGCCTGTTTCCTCTGGGGCTATCTTAATTTATTGCACACAGGTCAGCGGTAATTTGAGTTCTCTCTTCTTACCTTGTTCATTCTAGCTAGAGGTTAATTTTGTTGAGCTTGTCCAAGAATCACCTTTACTTTTCATTTATTAATGTGTGCTCTAGTACAGTTTACTTCCATCTGTAATCCTCTTTTCTGCTGTTAGGTGTTAGCTGCGTAAATTTTGATATATTGTGTCTTCATTTTCACTCTAGAACCTCAAGGTCTTTTCTAAATTTTCTCTGATATGTTTGAGTCATTGGTTGTATCTGTGTGGTTTCATTTAATTTGGGATCTTGCCAAATTTCCATTATTTCAATCCTTCTAAACTTACCAAAGTCTGTTTCGTCGCCTGGTGTGTAGTCATACCGGGTGCTCCCTGTTCTGTGGCCCCCGGCCGAGCAGGCTGCCACTGCCTGGTCATTAGTTTTGTGGTGTTGAAGTCTTCGGTCTCCTTGGTGATCGTCAAGGTGGTAGTGGAAGCAGGGTCCTGAACTCTGCAATAGCACTGTTGACTTATCTGTCTCTTCCTTCATTTCCACCAGCTTTTTACTCCATACATTTGGTTCTTTGTTATTAGATGTGTTATTTGGGACTTGGTTGGAGATTATTAGCTTCATGTATGTTGTAGTTGCATGTATTAATTATGGCTCCCTAATGTATTATCATTATGAAATGTTCCTCTTCTAGTAACTTTTCCTTTTATTATGTGATACTTATATAGCCATCCAGCTTTTTTGGGGTTGCTGTTTGTGTGATCTTTTCCCATCCCCCCTTTTTTCTTTAGGTAACATTATTTTGCATCACATCATTGTATCAAGTTATAGTATCTACCCTCGGGTGTTACTTCTCCTCACCCACCACCAAAGCCCCCATAGTCCATTGTGCTCTCTTCCCGCTTTGTTTCCACCCCTACTCCTTCTCTCCCTCTGATAGCCTGTTCTTTTGGCTTTTTCTCACCTTTTGCTTGGTTTTTCTATATCCCACCTATAACTGCCTCCATCTGGTGTTTCTCCTGATTGACTTCTCTTACATAAACCCCTCCAGCCCCCTCCATGTCAAAAATGGCAAGGGTTTATCTTTTCCTGATAGCTGAGTAGCCTTCCTTTGTGTCTGTACACCTTTGTGTCTGCACACCTTTGTGTCATCTCTGATCACCTTGTCTGTGCGTGGGCACTTAGGTTGTTTACATAACTTGGCTATTGTGAATAGTGCTGCAATGACTGTAGGCGTGCATATAGCCTTTCAAATTAGTGTTTTGGCATTCTTTGAGTAGATACCTAGGGGTGGAATTCCTGGGTTGTATGGTAGATTCATTTTTATTTTTTTTCAATTTTTAAAAATTTTTTATGATGCATACAAGAAGTGTGGTGTAGGCCAGAGGTGGGGGGAGGAGGGGTGAGAGGATTCACCAGAGAGTGGGGAGCAGACAGGTGGATCTACTGAAATACACTGCTGAGGGGAGCAGCGGGGAGACAGGAGAGGTCTGATGATGCACCATGTGGGTCACCTCCCTGGCTGGGGATCAAACTTGTGCTGCAGTGGCTATAGATAGCTTCACAGGCTGCATCTTAACCCCTTGCACCACCAGGGAGGCACCGTCTGGGGTCACTTTTAACTTGAACTTTTAGTATTAAGATGGGTCTTGCAGTCAACAAATTCTATTTATCTGAGATTGTATTCATTTCACTATTTCATTTTGTAAAGCGCTTTGCTGCACACTAGAATCTTTACTTCGAATATGCTATTTCACTTCTTCTTTGCCTTTCTGGTGAAAAGTCAGGGTTTCCTAGATAGTGAAAAAACTTTCTCTCCCTTTCTTTGGCATTTTAACTACATTTCTAAATATGGATTTTATTTGGAATTTGTTGAGCTTCCTGAATAAGTTTGTGCAGCTTTCAGCCTTTTATTCCCGTTGAACTTTTTTTTTTTTTTTTTTTTTTTTGCTTCTCTCTCTCTTGTTTGTGGTACTTGCAGCAGTGAGTGTTGGTGTGCTCAGTGATATGCTGCATTTCTCTGAAGCGCTTAATTTTTCCCCTCCGCTGTTGTTCAGATTTATCATCTCCACACGTTGGTTGAGCTCCTCTGTTAACATGCTCTGAGTAGTTTCTCTCTCACAATACTCTTACTCTTTGCCAGGTCACCAAAGAAGACAAATCTTTCCAAAATATCATGCGTTGTTACAGGACCCAGCCACAGGCCCGCAGCCAGGTAAGCACATTTTCTCTCAGGTCTGAGAGAAAACCTCATCATCTCTGATGAGTGTAAGAAATTCACAGGTGATTCTGTGGCCTTCCCTCTAGCATAAGCAACTAAGGGATATCTTTAATCACCCTGATAGACAACCCTTCACTGTCAGTCTGTCCTCTGTTTTCCCAAAAGGCAATAGTATGCAATACTTGATCCCTTCTGAATTCAGATCATCACATAATAGACATGAAGGCAGTTACTTGGCTTCTATGTCACCTTTCAGTCTAATTTAGGAATCACAATATTCTACAATTAATGAGGATAACATTAAATGAAACTTAGAATTTTACTTTTACTATTCATCTGTGTCAACAATGAAATGACTGTATTTTCAGATTTGGCTTAGAATGACTTGATTTTATGGTTGGGTATTATTACTATGTAGCATTGAAACTTGAAGCCAGATAGGCCCCCAATGTAAATCCTGGATCTGCTACTTAAAGCTGCATGACCATGGCTACATTTCTTACCCTCTTCTAGAACTACCACCACTCCATGGGGTTCTTGTGAGACTTAAATCACACGTCACAGTCATATAGGTTAGGAGGTGCTCAAATATTAGATTCTCCCCTTTTCATTTCTCTAAAGGTCTATAGAAGTGTTTTGATAAAAGGGAAAAGAAAAAGAAGAAATTCTGGCAGCAGCGACAGCAGAAGCCATCAGAATTCTCCAACAGAACTAAGCAAAGACAGAAGTAAGAAGTATCTTTATGAACTCTTAAAAAACAAATTTAAACAGATTTCTAAATTTTTTTTTTTAAGATTTATTTATTCATACAAGAGCAGGGGTACAGGCCAGAGGTGTGATGGGGGGCAGGGGTGAGAGGATTCACCAGAGACAGAGTGGGGAACAGAACAGGCAGATCGACCAAAGTATACTGCTGAGGGGAGCAGTGGGCGAGTCAGGAGAGGTCGGCTGGGACAAGCTTCATAGGTTGCTTCTTAACCCCTTGGGCCACCAGGGGGAGGCCCCAGATTTCTAAATTTTGTTGCAAAACTGTCCTTCACCTCAGAACTCTGAGGCATGCTATATGTAACATTTTATCTCCATGGTAGTTAGGGATGGTATCAGGGAGGAATATGTTGACCTGAATTCCTGCCAAGTCTGAGGTGTCAGTTGGTTTTATGCTATGGAAACCCCAGGGCTCAGGTCTTAGAATACCGGGTGGGAAATTAATGAAAACTGCTCGTTAAGCTCTTGCTGCATTTATGGAAAGGGGCTACTTAATAAAGAGCCCAGTTGTTGCCACTAAGCATGTTCACTTTTTCCTGCTCAATTTTCCTTTTAAAAACAATCTTCACGGACCATCTGTGTGCACACTACCCTCACCACCCCGCTGCAGCCAGCAGAGACTCTAGCCCTGTCATGAGGTCCAGCAGCACTCTGCCCGTCCCACAGCCCAGCAGCGCCCCACCCACCCCCACGCGCCTCACGGGCCCCAACAGTGACATGGAAGAGGAAGAGAGGGGAGACCTCATTCAGTTCTACAACAGTATCTACATAAAACAGATCCAAGCATTTGCCATGAAGTACTCACAGGCAAACCTAGTAAGTGCAACAGGGATTATTTCATAATTTTTTTACCTGTGAGGGACAAGTAAAAGAAATCAGTTTGAGCTCTTCCTATGAAAGCTAGTTTTACAGATAATCCTGTTAAGTAAAACTGAGGAATTGCTAAAAGAAAGTAAGGTGGCATTTGGATTCCCTACAAAGTATGAGAGTGAATGGGTTCAAATTGTCCAAAACTTACCAATTATGATCTAGCAAGTTATTTTTCTTTGTGCCTCTTGTTTCTACATACATATATATTTCCTAGCTTGTGTGGGTTGTTGTGAGGATTAAATGACAACACATTACAAATGCTTAAATCAGTGACTGGCACAAAGCAAGCACTTAAGTGTTTGCTAAATATATGTTTTCTTGAAATGTAAATGGTGCTGCTAATAATGCATCACTGCCTATCATTTGTGTAGCTGCTAGTTTATTATCATGATCTTAAAAAAAAAAAACACCAAAAACCATTAAATCTGCTTAGAAATTTTATTTTCCTTTTTAAGAAATACTAATACATGTACTTGTTTAACAGATGGAAGCTCCTCCACTCTCTCCTTATCCATTTATAAGAACAGGCTCTCCTCGCCGAATACAGTTATCTCAAAATCATCCTGTCTACATTTCCCCACATAAAAATGAAACAATGCTTTCTCCTCGAGAAAAGATTTTCTATTACTTCAGCAACAGTCCTTCAAAGGTGAGCAGAACATAAATCTCACCCTTTATTTAACCCAACTCTTCCAAATGCTTAGGATCTGGAAACAATGTGATGGTAAGTCACAAAGGAGCAAAATAAGGTTTTGGGGTTGACGGATTCAGATTAATTTTCATTCCCTCTATTCTATACATACATTTTGAGCATTCTGTAAATCTGGAATCTGTGTATTGTAATTTTTTTTATTTCTAAATTTGTTAGGGGGCAAAATTGGATCTCTACTAAGTGCCTGTTTCTGGGACAGTTTTTCTGTCCTGGGGGAGGGGGGAGGGCTGAGAACAGTCACATTAGCATAGGTTTGTGTGGATGCTAGTGTCTTCCCCAGTGTGCTAGAGGGAGGGAAACTTAAGACAGACCCTTAAATGGATGAAAAGTTAGGAAGTTGATCTGGTGTGGGAGGAAGAAGCTGATAAGGGGAAGAAAACATCCTTGAGACAGTAAGACTAGATCATTTGTCTTCAGATGGCATTAGAAGTGCCACTGGACTTAATGTGATGTTTGTTAATAAAGATGGCTTAGAAAGAAACATGTATAAAAATAGGCCTGAAGTCTCCAAAAAGGAAAAATGTTAGTTAGTATAAAGGAGGCTAAGGAGACATGACAACGAAATGCAGCGCATAATTATTGATAGGCGTCTGCATTAAAAAGCACAGCTTTAAAGTGTGTAAGTGGGGAGATTTAATGTGGACTTCAGTGTTTATATGTACCTTTAAATTTCTTGGGTATTCAGAGGCAAAATGTCAGCAACTTACTTTCAAGTGGTGCAACTTAAAACAATTACAATAAGTGAGGTAAGAGATTAATAAACGGGTGTTCAATTAATGTCTTATTTTGTATTTTTTGAGACAGTTTACTGTCCCTCTCTAAAGAGACAAAGAAATGGGTAGAGAAGTAGAAATGTGGAGAGAAAGATAAGAGGTGGGTGTAGAGGGAATGGTAGATGTAGAGAGAGGGAGGGAGGGAGGGAGAGGTAAAGGTTAAAAAAGAAAAGTGTGTGAGAGACTGAAAGAGGTAGCGAGATAGAGATCCAGGGGATGGTAGGGGCAGAAAGCTAGAGAGAGCCAGAGATAAAAGTGGGGGGGGGGGGAGGAGGTAGATAAAAACGTAGAATGATTAGAGGTAGTGACAGAGACAGACAGTTGAGAGATGGAGACAGAGAAATAAAGGCAGAAGGAGATGAGTAGAGATTTAGAGAGAGAGAGGGAATGGTAGATGTCCAGGGAGAAAGTAGGAGAGTGCGCGCAAAATAGACAGATGGAGAATGTTTTCTCTTTCTCTACCAGAGATGTGAGATAGGGAGAGGGGAGGTAGAGCTACAGAGCAGAGAGAGGGATAAAATTAGAGAGAGCGCCTCCCCTGGTGCAGTGGTTGAGCGCTGGGCTGCAAAGCTGCCCGCAGCCTCTGCAGCGCTGGTTCGATCCCCGGCCACCGGTGCGGGTCCCACATGGCGCGCAGACCTCTCCTGCCTCAGCAGTGTGCTTCGGTCCTTCTGCCTGCTCTGCTCCCCGCTCTGGCTCTGGTGAATTCTCTCACCCTCCCGTGCTTCGACTGTACCCAGTGCTTGTATAAATAAATAAATTTTAAAAAATTAGAGAAAGGTAAGAGAAAGCGAAGAGAGGTAGAGACGTATAGCTAGATGGAAGGGAGAGAAGAGGGAAGACTGAGGTACCGGGGATGGCCGATGACGTGAATGGTGGAGGGAGAGAGATGTAGAGAAGCGTTGCAGTGGTAGAGGGAGATAGAGGTCGATAGAGGAACAGCCTTCAGCGGGCCTCCCGGATGGCCTAGGGGTTAGTCTCAGCGCTATCACCTCAGCGGCCTGAGTTCGATCCCAGTCCCCGGCCAGGGAGCACAGGAGCTAGCCCGCATGTGGTGCAGCAGCAGGTCTGTTCTTTGTGCCTGCTGCTCCCCTATGTTGTGAGCGTCAACTCTCCCGGCCCGCTCCTCCCTTCCCCGCCCCCTCCTCCCTCCCTTCCCCGCCCCTCCTCCCTCCCTTCCCCGCCCCCCCGCCCCCTCCCTCGCCCTGCCTACCTGACAACTAGAAATGGGGGGGGAGGGGTGAGGGGTGGTGGAGAGAGGTAATAAAGGCTGAGAGATCTAAACAGAGAGCTCGGAGCAGGAGAGGGAATGGGAGAGAGAGCTGAAAGACAGAGGTAGAGAATGGTGGGGGTAGAGAGCGACAGCAATAAACGATTTAGCCATAGGTTGCCTGAGAGGCGAGTATCGAGAGAAATATATGAGAAATATGAGAGAAATATATCGAGAGAGAGAAATGACGAGATGGGTAAGGAGGCAGAGGGCAAGTAGATTTAGAGAGACAGAGAGAGAAATACATAAGATGGTGCACTAAGGAGAGAGCAAGAGACAGCAGGAATGGTGGGCAGACGCATATCGGCAGGGGAGAGGTAGAGACTTAGAGGCAGAGAAAAAAGTGAGGTGGGGTGGGGGAAAGATGGGTTGAGAGAGGAAAAAGAAAGCGACACAGAGGTGGATGCAGAGAGAGGCCGGTGGACACAGTGGGGGGAGAGATGCAGAGGGAAGGTAGAGGCCATGAGAAATGGGGTAAGGAGGGGGGCAGAGAAAAGGGGTTGAGAGAGAGATGGGGGGAGGTGGAGAGGTGGGAACGGAGAGAGTGCAGAGAAAGTGAGAGGGGTAAGGAGGCGGATGAGCGACAGTGGTAAGCAGCGAGCAACAGAGGGAAAAGGAGAAACACACAGAGGGAGAACAGTAGAGGAGTGAGGCAGAGAGGAAAAAGAAGGGTGGAGGGCCGAGGTCAAGTGAGAAAAGCGAGTGTGGGAGATGAGTAGGAAAGCAAGAAATGAAATTGTCTCCACCGACCAGCTACAAAGTTTACTGCAACAACTTCTGTATAAAATTAAAAGACCGCAGACTGGTTCCTGAGTATTTCATTTGCTAACCCCAGATGTACGAGATAGTTAACCCTTGGTGCGAGGACTCAGACTAAGAAAACGGAAAACAGGATCATTCATGAATTGGAAACAGTATCCCACTAATCCATAAATTCAATGAATTCATTCCTGTCAAAATCCCAGAATTATATGTAGAATCCAAAATCTATATGAAATTGCAAAGGAATCAAAACAGGGTCTCCCATGACGGCGGCGCTGGGCGAGGACACAGGCACAGCCCGAGAGCGGCCAGGCACGGAGCCCGCGCACAGGTAACTGAGTCTCACCAAAGTGCAAGAGCAGAGTGGACAAGGGCAGCCTTCTCAGCAGATGGCCGTGGAAACAGCTGGCTACCCATCTGTAGCAAGGGTGCACTTACACGAGGACGTGAGCCTAAAACGAACTCTAAATGGAACACCTCAGATTACATGACGTCTACGAGAAAACCTTTGTGAACATGGGTTACACCAAAATACTTCATAGAGCAGCAGCACAGGCCATACGATAGAAATGCGATCTCATCAGACTTGGCAAGAACTGCTCTATTAAAGCTACTGAAGAACACAGAAAAGCCAGCCACAGACAGGAGAAATTTTACAAAACTCTTGTCTTTGAGGGATTTGTAGCTACTGCACAGAAGGATTTTCAGAACTTTAGGGAAACTAACCACATTTACAAGTCGGTGAAAGATCTGAACACATTTTACCCATTACACACCTATACAGAATAACTCTTCAGATTGGCAGTAACAATCTGCGGCCTTGGTTTGGAGCACATGGGACTGCTATTTAGAATGCAGACAGCACAGCAGAACGTACCTGGAAAGTAATTTGGTAGTTTCTTGTAAAATCACACTGCTGGGGGTTTACCCAAGTGGAATGAAAACTTAGCTTCTCACGAAAGCATGCGGTGGGTATCTGTAACATTATTAACTAACTGGCAAAAAGTAGGAAGCAGCCAAATGCCCCTCAGTTGGTCAATCAACAAACTCTGCGGTACACCCAGAAAGCATGCCACCGCCTGGCCACAAAACACAACACTCGGGGACAGAGACGAACCTCAGACGAATCTGTGTATATGTGAAAGATGCTGGGTTCAGGGGCCGCTTTGATTCCGTCTCTGCAGCATCTGGTAAAGACAAAACCATGGGCCATGGCTGTGGGGCTGAGCACTGGGCACGGGCAGAGGCGCCACCCACCTCACCGTGGGGTTCCATGACCAGCTAAACACGCAAAGCTATGCACTGGAGAGGGTGAAATTCACTGCACATAAACCGTTAAGAATTATTTTGCGCAAAAGTAAGGTCATGTATCCAGACCAGGGGTTTTCAGTCCTGTCTGCACATTATCACTCTCTGGAGCGATTTCAAAACGCGATTTCAAAACAATTTTAGCATAGAATTGGGAGTTCCTCCAATAAACGTTGCTGGAGAAGCTGTCATAGTGACTACAGGTGGCCAAGGGAGCCAAGATCAAGGATGCTTAGTACAAGGCAGTAAGTACCGTGGGTCTAAACCCAGCCTAGACTGTCCTGATACTTACACTACCAGGAGAAGAGAATTAGCAGCTACCACAAGGTCAGTCAGGATGACTGATTATTCCCAACACTTAACCAGGGCATCATTGTCCGTGGGCTGGGACGGCCTGCTGGGTGTAAGTGTTGGTAGCATTATTTAGAGTATTAAATATTAGGTGGAAATAACACGAGTAGGGGATTAAGCCACGATACAGGTATAGACATGCTATGCAGCGGTGAAGAGGTGTGGTTCATATATATATTACTGAGGGGCACTCAGAGCCACGATCTCAACTAAACAAATTTTCCAAATGGCACCTGACAGTACACGCAATATGCCACTTTAAGTTTTGTGGGACCTCACAATAGACGTTACATTTCTAGTAAGTGTGGGCCTAGGAAGAGCAGAGCACAGGGCTGCCTGATTTGTTTAGTGAATGAAATCGTGTCCCTGCAGACCAGGTAAGGGCAGGAAGTCTAGGTTTCTTCTGTATGAATTTTTTGGGAATAAATTTTTTTGTGTTTCAACTATCATGTATATATTGAATATATAAATTAGTAACACAATGATGCGCTGCACAAATGTATGTTGCTGTATATTAATGTGCTATGTAGATTAAGGTAGACGGTTATACACTATAATACGCCACGTAATAATACACATATGCAAAGAACACACAATGTGCACAAGTAACAATGTAAGGAATTTTCAAGTGGGAGACTAGAGATAGCAAATGCAGGGTAGGGTTAGGGCCAAAGGGAAGCTTGTTTTATATGGCCAAGATTTGAGAAGGTACCTGTGCTGGTGATAAAGCTTTCTGAGTTTTTAAATAAAATCACCAATGTTCTTTATTTCAAATAAAGATAAAAACGTCATGAAGAAGATATGTCTAGGATTTGCTTTAAAACAATCTGGAGGACGAGAAATGAATGAGGGTAAAGGTCAAGGTCTCAGGCTAGCTGAAGCTGCTGGGGGGTGGTCTGTGGCCACAGAGGTGTTTTTCCTACTTCCTCACTTTGAAGTCTCCTACAGTGAATGCCTGTGACCGTGCTTAGCGTGCACCCCATAAGGAAGAGCAGGCAATCGGGCAGCAGGTGAAAAAAAATTTAGCCCACAGATTACCAGGAAATAATGTGCCAACTGACTTGGGACTTTGGAGAAAACGCTGAAGGCCCGTGCGTGATGGCGTCCCCAGCAGCTTGCTGAGTTCTCGCCTGGCGTTCCTGGGTGAGCTCTTCTCTCAGTTCTCCCAAGGCTGACACATAACTGACCTTGTACATTCCAGATTGTTCTAACAGAGTACCTGCAGCGGCTGCCTTAAGGAATGAAGGCTCACTTCTCCTGTGAAAGTCTTTCAGTGGTTGCTGAACAGGATGTAACACTAGACTGCAAAGAGTCATGAAATCATGCCATCTTTTTAAAAGAGATGTAGAGCTGTAGAAGCAAATATACAATACAGCCAAGTGTTACTCTATGACTATTATAAAATTTATATTACAACTTTGTGAAAACTTATACTGTGGATCAGTATCCATCAAAATCACCTCTGAAGCTTGAAAGGAAAAAAGAAAAAAACTACCTTCACCTCAGGCATCAGTTTCAGCCAGCTGAGAATAAAACTGGAATATAAAACGTAATTCTCATCCCTATGAAATGTTCAAACTCTTCAAGGGAAACTGCTTAAACTCACATTAAGAGGTTTTTTGACTTAACGCTGAACTGTACGGAGCAACATTTGAAAATGTGTATTTTCTCCCCCCTCCCCTCCCACTACAGAGACTGCGGGAAATTAACAGCATGATACGGACAGGAGAAACGCCAACCAAAAAAAGAGGGATTCTTCTGGAAGATGGAAGTGAATCGCCCGCAAAAAGAATCTGCCCAGAAAATCACTCTGCCTTACTGCGCCGACTCCAGGACGTGGCTAATGACCGGGGCGCCCACTGAGGTCAGTCGCATCACGACGCCCTTTCCTCCCGCAGAGCAGCCTTTCACGCACGCTGGATGCTGGGCTCTCCTCAGTCCTTCCGGTGTCCTTAGGGTATTTTTTTACTCCTCCCAACCGGCTTCTTTCCTACCATTCAGCACTTGCCATCAAGGATCTTTAACTCCCTGCAAAGCTTTTACAAACACTGCAGGGAACAAGGCGTGGTCAGAGAGAGGTGTAAGGCGCCTGCTGCCACGCCCCAACATTGGACCTGATTGCAGTTTGCTGCTGGCTGTCTGTGGAAAGCAAAACGAAAACCAGGTCTTGTATCCTAAAACACTTGGTAGGAGTGAGGTTACTGCATTCCCTTCACACACTAGCAAGAGCGCCCCGGCACCCAGGTCCTAGGCCCGGTGAGCCCCGGCTCCTCCCCGCCCCTCCTACTGGGCACGGCCCGTGGGCCCTGTGCTTGTGAGTGTGGTCAGGAAGTGGCACTTTAGGGCTGGAAGAAGCATGGTTTTGTAACCCAGATTTTGCTGTATATCGCAATGGCACTTTCTACAATGTGAACCTTGGTAGTATAAAACTTCTAATGTAAACGTAACTTCTAAGCTCGACAGTATCTTCCTTAGTGCTTTTGTACTTTTTACAAACTGTTACTGCCCCAGGGGCCACCTTTTGGGCATGTGTTTTAGATTCTCCGAAGCTCTGCTGTTGTGCAGGGTCAGATGGCCAGGTAGTGATTTTAAATCAAGTTGAATTAGGAGATTAATATGAAAAATGATGACCTCTTCTTTTAGGAGGTAGCTGTCCAAAAGACAGGTGTCTATTAAGAGGATATATTTAAAACATTTAAAAATATCTTGAGTGTGTTCTAGCAGTTTAAAATAGGTTGGTGAATTTAGGTTTTTATTAGTACATAGTACCATTTCTACAAATTAGAAAACGTTATTTAACAGCCATTGAATTATCTATATATACACATTTATTAATCACTATTGTTCTAGCAGTTTTAAAGTTGAATGAATAATCTTATTAGGGAGAAAATTCAATTGTAAATTGAATCAGTATAAACAGAGTTACTAGGTAACTTCATATTGCTCTAAAAGAAACATGGAAGTTACACTGTTCAATTAGAATAGTGTTCTGCAAAAATATTTATACAAACTCTCAAGATACTTACTGCTACTGTAATTTTATATGAAAATAAGTGTATTTTTCAATAAAGCATTTATAAATTAATCTTTGCTTAGTTACACTGAGAAAAGGATACTTACTTTCCTGCATAAATGACAAAGAACAATCATTTATTGGTTTATTTTGTCTCTACAAAACACATTAATCATTCATCATTTTAAATATTTGACTTCATTAGAAACCGTTTTAACGCGTTCTCTCCCTCCTGCCAAAAAAATACAGTAAGTAATTTGCTTTAAAAAAAAAAAACAAAACTATGAACAGTTTTCTGGTTTCCTCTCACCCACCTAACATGTACCTCAGTGACAGCAGTTTGTAAATCAGTAAGACAGAGGCTGAAGACTGAGGTTCAAAGTGCTAATCGCTATGGAACCTGATCTCCTCCCTCCACATCCTAACTCATGTCCAACCGAAACCGCCGGTTCAAAAGTCATTCGCTAGTGCCGGACGCTACGCTCATTAGTTTAAAGGAATGCAACTTACCTTTAGCATTATATTCAGGAAAATACTTAAGCCTCAAGGACCCCAGAGACTTGGAGTACCGAGCTAGAGAACCACCCTGGAGACGCGCGCAGAGTGGCGCGCTAAAGAGGTTTCCAAAGTTGCTGTTAGAACCTAAGCATCTACGGACAACACGACAGCAGTCATTGTTCAGCCGTTTACTCCCCGGACAGGCGGGCCTCTGCCGCCGGTCAGCTGTGCTAGGCCAGAGTCCAGCAGGAAAGTGCGTGGTGCACGGGTCACCAGCTCCTAAGTGGCTCCTGTTTTCTCTTCTTTACTGAAAGGCTGCACCGAGCCGGGCTTTACCCACGACAGGCCAGCAACGTGAACGCTTTTATTGTGCTGCTCTTCAGACTTCTGGGCACAATCAGAAAAACAGAATAAGAAAACACTGATGAGGAGACTGTTAGCACCGCCAACCTCGTTTCCCAAAAAGTCACTGGCACGTGAACTGTCTCCAGGGAAATCATTTCAGAAGGGAGCTAGAGAGCAGCTGTGAGAGATGGGCAAGTGGTTCTCCGCTTACTTTGGGAGTCAGCATCTTCTCTCTGGCTTCGTCATGCACAGAAGGGTTCCACGGAGAGAAGCTTCAGGAAGAGACAAACATTAAAGCACTGCTTTTGGCCCACTGACTGTGCACTACGTCCGCCTTTCAACATTCAAGCCAGTTCCCCTAACGAAACCTCACAAAGACCAGTACGTTCCCAGAGCGGTCATTAGGTGGAGATTTTAGATGGTACCCAAGTGGTTTTCTCACAGGACTGTCCTTCATAGCACACTTCACACGGCCTGGCCCACCAAAGCCTCACAGCAGCCCCCGCAGCACGAGTGTTAGGATGGTACAGTAATTGTTAAGAGTCCCCAAAGCCAGTGGATGTCCATGTGCCGCCGCCTCCCCAGCCCTCCTCCAGACCCAGGGTCACAGTGCCAGAGAAACCACTTCTCAGCCCCCTGGCCACCAGGCTGAGGGGACTAGGGCAGCTTAAGAAGGGCTCTGACTTAAAACAGCCAACTGAAAAGGTAAGTCCTGACCCCCAGATGAAGGTTCACAACAAAGACCCTGAAGGAAACCAAAGACGCCAAGTAGCTTGCTGCTGACGCAGCGTGCCCTTGTGTAAAGCTGTTTGAGGAAAGAGCCAGAGAGGGATCAGGGAGTGAGCTGTCAAGTTATAAAGACTGTGAGCTACCAGCTGGTGAACTTGCCTTCTAAACCCAGTCGAAGCCCCACCCAACCTGCAGCAGAATGCAGACCTCGGCGGGGAGCGCTTACCTGATGGCGTAGGGGTCTTCAATTTTAGGCTGGTCAAACAAACGCGCAGTGCATACCTTCACACTGTCCACCACTTTATTTTTAAAATGCTGAACGTCATTTTCATACCTGTGTTAAAAGTTTAAATCACAAAGTTACCAACAGAATGCGCTCGGCTGCAACGTCGAACTTATCTGAAATAATAAAGCAGTGACGTACAGTACTGCAGCTTCTGGGTTTAGGGGGTTCACCGTATCGATCTTGTAGAAAACTCTCCGCGCGTACATCAGCACTTGCCAGATGTGGTTATGGTTCCGCCTAAAGGGAAACATGGCTGCTGACTGATGGCGCGCTGGCCGACGCCCCTCGCCACCGGAAACGCTCATTTACTGACCTCCATTTTGCAAAGGCTCTCTTCACGTCCAGCTCACCCGAGGCGGGGTCCACGAGCGGGTGGAAAACAGGGATATCAAACACCAGGCGCTGCAGGTAAAGACAGACGAGCTGCAACAGCGGCAGAGGCCTCAGGAGACCCGTCATCCGAGGCCTCGGGGAAGCCGACCCATGTCAACCCAGAGCGCTGCCTCGAGGGCTCCCCAACTACTTTCACCTTTTCCTGTAAAACTAAATTCTGCAGCCAGAGGGGGGGGAAGTCCCTTCCTCTACCACAGCACGGCAAGGGCTGTCCACAAGGTTAGGCCATAGTCCCTTCCGGCCTCTGAGCGGTGAAGTAAAGCTACAGGCAGAGACGGGCGTGGCAGAGCAAGCAGCACCAACACCCTTGAAAGACCACTGAGCAAAGAGACGCTTTGGAAACTGAAATCATCCAAATACTAACTACTCGGTCAGGAGAGAAGCGACACATGGTCAGCGCTTGCCACGCCCGCCTCACCTGCCACACCGCACCCGGCTCGCCCACTCACCGGACAGTCGCCGTCAGGGTAGTTGTCAGGGATGTAGACCGTGAACTTGAACACGCCGTCCTGATAGAGCCCGTGGCGGATGAAGATCACGCCGAACCACACTGCGGAAAAACCAGCACCATTGAGCCTTAGGTGGGTGGTCAAGGAGCCCAACGAGCTACAGAGGAACAGTGAAGTGTCTTACTTAACGCCGACCGATACGACGGCTGCACGTAGACGCCCGGGAGCTTCTGCTTCACCACCAGAGTGCTGGAACACAAGCGGAGAGTGACGTCGGCGGGGGGACGCGTGCTGGCTGTCCCACGCTCCTTTTCCGAAGGGGAACACTGGCTCCAGGGCCGCGGCGGCCCTGCCTGCATAAGCCAGGTCAGTGCGGCCTCCTGCCTGGCCCTGCCTGCCACCCACTGAGGGCTGCGTGACACAAGCGCACAGTAACACCTGGCCCCCAAAAAGGGTCCCAGATTAAAAACGGAGGGCAAACATGGACACACAAAGACGCAAGTTTGCGCTCAGAAACCAACTGCTCCAAAGCATCTGGGACGCCAAGCCGCAGGCAATTCTGAACAATGCAAGCTAATTGAAGTTTTGGACATTAAATCTGAGTGCAGATGTCACCCACACACATTCAGAAGCCACTTTTAAACACAAGGCCAGGTAGCTTAGAATTAAAATTCCATGGAACTGTGCGGACCCAGGGTCCGGTTCAGCCTGAACACTGACCACGGGCAGAGGCTGTCCGGTTCTGCACTGCGGTGGGGAAGGCAGGTGTCGGGCGAGTCTCTCATGCTGGGTGCTCTCACCCCCAAGTCAGATGAACTCCGTGGGCTGCGTGAAAGACGTGGCGAGAACACACACCCAGGCTGCCCAGGCTCCTCGGGGACCCAGTCACCCCACCGACAGCCATTCTGCTCTGCCCCTAGAGCTGAGCCTGAGTGGGGGCTGCTGCCGACCCAGAGCCTGAGCATACACAGCCTGCCAGGCGGAGTTTTGCTGAGACGCCCCTTACTGGGCCTCAGTGACTGTTTTCATGGCCTTCTTACTCATTTTCAACCACTTTAACATAGTCATCCCACTTCTGATGCAACTCGCAGTGAGGCTGGCAGGTGTATCCACCACAACGAGTTTGCCAGAAAGGCAATTTTGTGTCCTAACACGAACAGCAGCCTGAGGCCACAACAGATGCCTTTCCAGCTCGCTGCCCAGGCCCAGACACAGGCCTTCATTCTAAAGCCAGGGGGACCCCAATACCAGTTCACGCCCGGCTGAGCGCCTGCGGCCTCAGACCAGGAAACACCCGCACAGGATGGGGGCCTGGGCGCTTCTGAAACAACATCTACAAAGGATTCTACAGTCATTGAAGTTACAGTTTCTCCAAACTCTTCAGTAACTTATCAAATGGCATCTACGCTCCTTCCTAAGGGCCCCCTCCACGGCGGGCGCTGCGTCGTGGCACTGCGTTGTGTCACCGCGGCCTGCAGACGCTCCCCTCACCTCAGACACCCGCACTCGGCCCCACTTCCGTCTTCTGCAACTGCTCAAGTTCTTAAGTACACAGGGTCCAAATCTTGAGATTTTTTTCTATAACTGACTGGTTCTGCCTTTGGGGGCCAGACAGAGTAATTCAAATCCCCTCTCTGGGGGTTTGCTAAGCCTTCACATACATGCAGCAGCTTCAGTCCGCCTCCGAGTTTTCCAGACAGTGGCCTCCGCACTGTCACTCACTGCCCCGCAAGAAGGACCACCTGCCCTCTGCCTACTGGGGCCACCTCTGGGGATAGGGGGACCGGCAGCAGGAGCTTCCCGCTGGCTCATAACCAGCGGAGACAGGCCTCCTCCTCCGCAGGCCCAGGGAGGGAGAGACAGTCTAGCGGGCAAGGCCGGGGGGAGCGCGACAAACTCCTCAGGTGAATTCCTCATCTCCTACACGCATGACCAAAACTAAGTTTTAAGTCGCTGACCCACCCGGGTCTGCAGTCCATCTTGGTCTCCTCCGTTTCCTCCCCAAACAGACAGGCGGTGCAGACCATCTGCCTCAGAGCCCTGACACTGAGGGAAGGATCACGTGGGCCGCCCCTCAAGCGCCATCAGAGTCCACCGCCAGAAAAGCCCCCATCGCGCCACACTGCGGCTCGCCCCGGTGGGGCCGGGTCTGAGCTGCAGGATGACCAGGCCCGCGCGGTCTCCCGGGAGACGTGTCGTCTGTGGCCTGAAAGAGTCCTCGCAACTTAGCGCCAGTGCTCCGCCGCCAACTTACAATTCGGCCAGAAGCGAGTACTCCAGGTAGAAGGGGCCGTAGGACGCGTGCGTGCCATTGGTCGGCGGCGCTGCCGGGGCAGGGGACGCGGGCTTCGTCACGGGCAGAGCGTTCTTGGGGACAGAAGGCAGCTGCTTCCTCGGGGCGGCGCGCGGAGGGCTGGTCTTCACGTCCCCCGTCAGCGCCTTCTCGTCGCCCTCAGATCGCTGTTGAGGTGGAGTCATGGGAACGCTCGTTAGGGTGGTTCCCAGGTCTGGCTCTCCCAGCCCTCGCCCTCCGCGAGGCGAGCGCCTCTCGCAAGGACGCCCTCGGCCACGAGCTGCAGGCACGACCGACCCAGAGCGGAGGAGCCGCAGCCCCTGAAGCTCCGGAGCGCCCTCGCTACCTGCATCCTCTAGGCAATAAAGTCAGTGTTTCCAGGACCCGAGCGGCAGTAAGGGATGGTTTCTCCTGGCGGCCCCACAAGGAGGGCGAGGGGTTACTGAGCAGTTAGCCCGCAGACGGGAGGCGGCCCGGCACCTGGGCGCTGAGAAGCTCCAACTAGGCAGTGGAGGGGCTGACAGCAGAGTGAAGGGGATGAAGTCACTCTGGGCCGCCCCCCCGCGGTTCTGACCTGGCCCGGAGCAGGAGGCGTAGCTGCACGCACTGGCCACCAGCGCACACTCATGCGGCCGCGGACAAAGGTCTAAGTGAGTCACAGACTTAATTACCATCTCCTGAGCCCCATCTTGCGCAAGCCCGGCCAAAGCTTTTTAATTAGCTGTATTAAAAATACCTAAAAAGGTGATTACTAATGGTAATCTCTAGGGTGGAATTATGGGTAACATGGACTTTCTTTCTGTGTACATATTTCATCTAGCCTAAAGTGGAAATTATTATTTTTACAATTACAAACCAGCCTTTTTCTCAAGGAAAATTCAAGGTCTGCTGTGGCTGAGCAGCCCAAGGCTCCTCTAACAGGGATCTTGTAGTTTATTAAAAACTAAACTTCACAGTGGGAGCCTCACGCGAGACTGCATGGCCGCACAGCCGTGCCATGGACAGAACGAACTGCCACGGACAGAACAACTTCTCTAACCCTAACCCTAAACTAGGAAAAACAGGTTTTATTTCCGTGATAGCAACTTCCTAGAATTCATTTTGCCCTCCACCCTCCTCTGGCTCCCTCCCCACGCAGCCCCTGTACCTACCTTGCGCGCGGAGCCTGCAGACATGCTCCAGAAAGGGTTCATAACGCGCCCTCCGAGAAGTCCAGGGGTCTGTCATCAAACGCTTCCTCCAGAGTCACTTCACCTTCAAACAGATGGGAAGACGGGGCCCCCCACGCCAGGTCAGAGCCAGACGCGGGCTGCATGGCATGGCTGTCCGCGCGGCGGGAGGGCGCCACACGCGGGCCCCTCGGACCCTTCCCTCCCGGACTCCTCTCTCTTTCCTTTTCTCTTTTTTAAAAAGATTTATTTGTGCAGAAAAGGCCAGAGAGCGAGGCTGGGGGTGAGAGGGCTCGCCAGAGACAGGGGAGCAGGACGGGCGGGCTGCGGAGCTGCTCCGCGGAGGGGCGCGGGGGCGTCCGCCAGGCTCCTCCTTCTCCCCACTTGGAGTCTGGCCGGGATTCAGAACCGGGATTCAGAACCGCCCATGGCGGGGTCAGCTCTGGGCCGGAAGCGCAGGGGACACAGGCGCGCAGGGCGGCCGGGCACGATGCCGGGGCAGGGCGCGCCGTCCCCGCGCCCCACGGCGCCCGCTCCGGGCCGGGCCGCGGGAGGCGCAGGTGCGCGGGCCAGACCCAGGGCGTCTCTGCCGAGCCGTCCTGAGTGCGAAGTGGGCTCCCCAGCGGCCGCGGGCCCGGAGGCCCGCACACAGGCCGGGGGCGGGCCGCCGGCTCCGGTTCCAGCTTCGGGCTGGACAGCGCCGCGGCCACGGCCAGGGGCCGCCGGCAGGAGCGCACAGGCCGGAACGCAGGTTCCCCAGGAGGCCGGCTCAGAAGGCGCGTCTCGGAGGCCACAAAGTCAGGGGGTCGCTGGCTGGAAACACGAGGGCGGCAGCAGCGAGAAGCGGCCCGCGAGGCCCGGACCGAGGCTGCCTGCGGCACAGACGGCCGGAGGAGCAGGGGCTGGCAGGCTCTCCGCGCCTGGGGCGGGCTCACCCCCGGGGGCCCCACCGGCAGAGGCTCGTCCTCTCTGCGAGGGCCCGCCCCCGCCCGGCCCGCGGGTGAGAAGCAGGGCAGGGCCGCGCTCTCGCGCCGGGACGGCGGCACCGACGGCCGCTGGGCAGCAAGGGTGGGGGGCGGGCGCTCAGCCGCGCCGGGGGAAGGCGGCCCTTCGGGTCCCGCCACCTGCTCGGCCCGGCAAGCCCAGCCCAGGGCGAGTTAAAGTCTCAGGGCACTTAAGCTACCACCAGCCCGGCAAGCCCAGCCCAGGGCGAGTCCGCGGCTCTACCCAAGGGTCCGCGCTCGCCCGCGGCCCCTCCTGCCTGCTCGGGGGTCAGGGCCTACGCCGCGCGCCTCCAGCTCCGCCCGGGGCGACTCCGGCCCCTCTCCCCGGCCCGCCCGCAGGACGCACGGCCCGGGCCCCCCAGCTGGCGCCGGCGCCGGGCCCGGCCGTCCCGCTCCGGGAACCGGCTCGAGTCTGCGCGCAAACACGACGCGCCCGGGCCGCAGGGCCGAGGCGGCCGCCCGGACCTGTCCGACCGCCCCGTCCGGGCTGGACACGGAAAGCGCCTCCCCGCGCCGCGCGCCCCCGCGGCCCCGGGCGGGCTCCCGGCGGCCCGGAGGAGACGCAGCAGCCGGGCTGGCCCGGGGCGCAGCCAGCTCCGCGCGCGCCCCGAATCCGGACAAACCTGTCTCGGGCGAGGCCAGGCGCGGGCCGGGCGGCGGGCGCCCCTCGACGGCGGGGCGCTGGGGGCCCCGGGGCGCCCCCCCCCGCCGGGGTGCGGGACCGGCCGCAGGGGGCTCCGGGCGGCGAGCGCACGGCCCAGCCCGGCCCGGCCCTGCCCGGGGCGGCCGCGCCGCAGGTGCCGAGCGCGCACAGGTGCCGGCCCCGCCCCGCCCCCGCCCGCCGCGCCCGGGTCGGAGCGCCCGGCCGCGCCGACAACTGCCCGGCCGGGACGCCGGCGGCCGGCGCGCGGGGCTCCGCGGCCCTCGCCCGCCCGCAGCCCGCCCGGCGGCGCCGCTCACCTCGGCCTCGGCGCGGCGCGCCCCGCACTACGCGCCCGCGCGGCCCGACAGCATCTCCGGCCGCAGCGCCGCCGGCCCGCCGCGTCCCGCCCCTCCCTGCTCCGTCCGGGCTCCGCCCCGCCCCGCCCCCGGGCCGGCGCTTCCGCCCAGCTCCCCGCGCCAGTGGCTGCCGCGCCTGCTCGTCAACGACGCCCTTCCGGGGGCGGGGGGCGGGCCGCACTCCCGCCGGCCAATCAGACCCGCCCGGCGGGGTGGGGCGGCTCTCGGCCCGCCCCCTACGTAGCCGCGCGCGGCGTGACCCGTCCGTCGCGGAAGCGCTGCCGGGAGGCGGAGGAGGAAACAAACACGCCCCGGACGTCATTGGCCGCGGCGTCCGCCCGTCACCATGGAGACTCGCCTCCGGGCTGGCGTGACCTCTGCGGCGGCGCAGGGAGCCGGGCCCGGGCGGCTCCGGCCGCACTGCGCTCCCGTGGTGGGGGGGGAGGGGCGTGGCCGGACGGGGGCCCGGGGCGTCCGCGGGGCGTCGGGTGGGCAGAGCCGGCGGGGGAGCTCGCGGCGCGAACGTCCAGGGCGCCGGGAAGCCAGGGGGGCCGAGGCGGGCGGGGCGGGCGGCGCAGGGATCTGGCCTCATGCAGGCCCCGCCGCCGGCCCCCCCGCAGCCCGCCCCCTCCCCGGCCTGCCGGACCCCCCCCCCGGCCTGCCGGACCCCCGCAGCCCGGCCCCGACGCTAGCAGCCGCTTCACCGCCTCACCCCGCACCCTTCGCTTTGGTCGGGGACACCCGTGAGGGCCCCCCGCCGTCGCCGGTCAGGTTCCCCGGAACCGTCCAGACCCGACGGGAGCTGCCCGCGGGGCGCCGCCTCCGGGAACCCTCACCCCCCACCCCCGACCCCCCCACTCCCCTGCACGCCTCATGCGCCGAGAGAGCTACCCCCGGCCAGGTCCGGCCGCTGTGAGGTCTCGCGACGGTCTCCCCAAAGGGTCCCCCCGAAGGGTCCCGCCGAAGGGTCTCCCCGAAGGGTCCCCCCGAAGGGTCTCCCCGAAGGGTCCCCCGAAGGTCTCCCCGAAGGGTCTCCCCGAAGGTCCCCCAGAAGGGCGGCGGCCGAGCCCTCGCGCCCCGGGTCCCTCGGCGCCGACCTCCTCCCGCGGGAAACCCCCCGAGCCGCGTCCTCCTGCCCTGCGGCGCCCCCCGGGCCCGGCCGCGCCCGGCGCCCCTGCCCGCTCGGAGCCAGCCCCGGCCGCGGGTGCGGGCGCCCCGCTTCCTGGCCGTCAGGGTCCCGGGCCGGAGGGCCCCGCTCACCCCCGCGGCGGGGGGGGGCTTCCCGCGGGGCGCGGCTAAGCGGGGGGGGGGGGTCTCGCGAGGGGCAGGCCCCGAACCGCACCCCCAGGCTGGCGACCGGCCGGCGCACCCCGGCCGGCCTCTCGGGGACCCGTCCGGGAGACACACCAAGGAGCCGACACACCCGGACCGAAACCACCCCAGACGGAACTGCCAGGGGCGTTGGGGTTCGGGAACAAAGTGGGGGCGCCGCAGCAGCCTGGGGGCGCTTTGGAGGCGGGCGACGTGCGCCCGAAAGGTGTGACCCTGGTCCGCCAGGTCCTCCGCGTGGGGGCAGAGCCGCGCGTCCGCGTCTCCTGAGCCGATTGTTCCATAGTTTCCTTTGGGTGGGGACGGCGTGTGTGCCCCGCGTGTGCCCATGTGTGTGCGCCCACGTGTGTGCCCGTATGTGTGCCCCGCGTGTGCCCCGTGTCTGTGCCCGCGTGTGTGTGCCCCGCGTGTGCCCCGTGTCTGTGCCCGCGTGTGTGTGCCCATGTGTGTGCCCCGCGTGTGCCCGCGTGTCTGTGCCCCGTGTCTGTGCCCCGCGTGTGCCCGCGCGTGCAGAGACCCAGGGCGCCGCCCTCCCCCGCGGGGGCGCACGAGCGTCCGCGGAGCCGAAGCGGGTGATTTCCCGCCAAGACGAGCACGAGGCGCCTTTCCCAGGGGCTCCCCAGAAATGACAGAAGCGTCGACGACCCGAAATGAGCCCCGGGTCTCACCCGGCGACCCGCCGGGGGCGCGGGGGGGGTGCTCGGGCAGGGGCGGGCCCCGCCAGGCCGCAGTCGAGGTGGACGTGGCCTCGGCGTGGGGGGCTTCGGGGGGCGGGCAAGCCCCGTCCGGCTGCTCCCCGCGCCGCGTCCAGCCCCCACCCGGGTCCCGGCTCCTCGCCCGGGACGGCCCGCGGCTGCGAGCCCCGACGGACCCGCGCCCGGTGCGGGCGCGCACAGGGGGCGCCCCTCTCCGCGGAGCCTGACGCGGCGTGGTGCCCCCGCCCCGGCCGCGCCCCGGCCGCGCCCCCGGGGCCCCGGACCTGGGCAGCGCCTGATCCGCAGCTGGACGCGCCCCCGGGGCGCCTGGGCTGAGCCGCCGCCACCCCGGCTGCGGGACCCCGACGGCGCCCGCGGAGCGAGGGGAGCGCGGGGCTCCGGCCCCCACTCCGGGCGGCAGTTCAGGCTGCACCGGCGCCCGCCCGCCCGCCGAGGACACCCGCCTCCCGGGGCGCAACGAGCGCCCGACCCCCATCGCTGTGCCGGGGAGGACACGGGGCCGGAAGGCGCGCGGGTGCGGGTGGACCCCAAGCCCTGGGCCTCCAGGCGGGCGTGCGCCCCGCAGCGCCGGCGCTGCTCTCCGCGCGCTTGTTTGACCTGCGGGTGTCACTGGACGGCCCGGGTACCCCCCCCCACCCCCCGTCCCCCAGGGCCGCCCCAGGCGGCTGCGGCGAGAAAGGCGCGGCTGGGGCGGGGGACCCCTGAGACCCCGCCCTGCTCCCCGTGCAGGCCGCGCGCCCTCTGGCGGGCCCCGGGGAAGGCCCGGCTTATCCCGCCCGCGTCCTGCGGGTCACCCCCTGCACGCACTCAGCCCCCCTCGGGCGGGTGTGAACACGCGGTGTACTCGACGGGGACAGACTCGCGGGAAACGTCGTCCCTGAGGCTGGGGCACCCCTGGGTGCTGCCCGGGAGCCCGCTCGGAGGCCGTGACCCCCGCCCCCCCCGGGCCCCTCCAGCCTCGGCTTCGCTCCCCATCCGGGCCGCGGGCATCTGCCCGCGCACCCCCCACCGAGTCCCGAGCCCTAGGGGTGCAGGGCTCTCGGGGAGTCGCCGAGAAGCCCAGGGGGTCTCTGGTCCTCCGGGGAGCAGGGGGTGCGCGCCCAGGACAGGTGGCGGGCGGGAAGCGGGGGGCTGCCTGCCTGGGGGACGCTGCCCCCGCCCGGCCCGTGGGCGCCCCTCGCACCCCACGCCGTGCTGGGTAGAAACGGGGGGCGGAGGCGCGGTCCCCAGCAGTGGCACCTCCGGGCCGTGAGTCACCCCGGAGCTCGGCCCTCACCCCAAGGCCCGTGACCCGCCTCCGCGCCAACATCGACTTCGCCGCCGAGGCGCCGGGCTGGCCGCACTGGCCCCTCCGGACCGCGTGGGGGACTCGCACTGCCCCGAAACCGGCCCAGCCACCCCCCCCCCCCGCCCACGCTCACCACCGCGGGTGCCAGGGGCGCCGGGGTCCCGCTGCCTCACCCCACACAGCAGGGCGCGGGGCTGCGGGGGACCCGGGCCCTCAACCTCCTCTTCCTTCTGGAACAGCCGCAGGCACCGCACACCCAGCCCCCGGCCCAGGCAGCCCTGCGGGGACGCAGGCTGATCTCGGGGTGCTGCTGGGCTTCCTGCAGAGCCATCGCAGCGCCCACCCCACATAATAAAGCCCTGTGTGACCGAGCACAGGGGGCGTCTCCCAGGGGTGCAGGACAGAGGCCTCCGTTCAGGATCTGGGGCAAGATAAGGGGGTCCACCCCGGCACCGCCTTTCACTGAAGTACTGGGAGGACTTGCTGGGGCGATGAGGCACAGGAGAGCCCTAGAAGGAATCCAGGTTGGGAAAGAAGTAAAGCGACCGTCGTCCGCAGACGACAGGATGCAACATTCAGAGAACACGAAGTCATCCTCGGGAAAGCTCATTAAAAAAATAAAACCAGTCCAGTAAAAGAGCAGGCGACAAAACCAACACTCAACACCAGCCAACACGCTGTAGGCACATCCTCCGCCTGAGGAAGAAATCAAGAAAGTCATTCCATTTACGACAACAACAAAAATTTTAGATACCTGGTAATAAATCGGACAAAGGAGCCGAAAGACCTGCACGAGGGAAAACAATCAAGCATTGTTCAAAGAAATAGAAGACTCCAAGAAATGGAAAGACAGTCCCTGCTCTTGGATGGGAAGAATTAACAGCCTCAGAATGGCCATGCAAAGTAGCTTACAGGGCCTCCCTGGTGGCGCAAGGGGTTAAGCACTGCACTATGAAGAAATCTGCAGCCTCTGCAGCATGAGTTCGATCCCTGGCCAGGGAGCTACCCACATGGCGCAGCAGACCTCTCCTGTCTCGCCCGCTGCTCCCCTCAGCAGTGTGTTTCAGTCAGTCTGCCTGTTCTGCTCCCCGCTCTGTCTCTGGTGGATCCTCTCACCCCCCGCATCTCTGGCCTGTACCCCAGTTCTTGTATGCATAAGTAAATGAACCTTAAAAAAAAAACAAAGTAACTTACATATTCAAGGAAATTCCAGTGAAAATGTCAGTGGCCTCTCTCGTAGACATGAAACACATACGGAGATTCATATAGTCACAAAAAACCCCGAGTAGCCAAAGCGCTCCCGAATAAAAGGAGCTGGAACAGAGGTATTCCACTTCCAGGCTTAAAACTATTCCTCCAAAACCATAACAAACAACACAGCATATTGGAAGAAGAACAGACTCATAGACCAATGGACTCAATTTGAAAGCCCAGAACAAAGTCACACTGACACGGCCAGCTAATCTACGACAAAGGAGCCAAGAACACGCACTGGAACCAGGGGAGCCTCTTCAATATACGGTGCTGGGAAACCTGGACTGCCCCGTGCCCCGAGAAACTAGATTATCATCTTACACCAGACACAAAAATCAAGTCAAAAGACTTGGATAAAAGACTTAGATGCAAGACTTAAGATCATAAAATATAGAGGAGAAGATAGAGGCAAAATACTCCATGCCACAAACCTCAGAAACGACTTTCAGGACTCATTTCCAGAAGCGAGGAAAACAAAGAAGAAAATCAACAATTGGGACTAACTACATCAAGCTAAACAGCTTTTGTACAGCAGAAGAGGCAGTCATGAAAACAGGGCCATCCTATTCAAAGGGAGAAAATATCTGCACACCATACATGTGATCAGGGACAGACAGCAAGGGTCCACAAAGAGCTTCACGACAAAAATAAACCAATGAAAATTTGGGCAGAAGAACGAAAAAGCCACTTCTCCAAAGAAGAAATGCAACTGGCCAACAGGCATATGGAAAAAAAAATTCAATATCACTATCAGGGAAATGCAAATCAAAGCCACAATGAGATAGCTCCTCCCACTGGGAGCATGGCCCATGATGGAAAAAACTGGAAACAACAAACGCTGGAGAGGATGTGGAGATAAAGGAACCTTCCTGCACTGCTGGGGGAATGCAAACTGGTCCAGCCACCATGGAAAGCTGTGTGGAAACACTAAAAATGGAGCTACCATGTGACCCAATAATTGCACTCCTGGGAATCTACCCAAGGGATGCAAAAACATTAATTCAAAGGGAAACCTGCACCCCTATGTTTACTGCAGCACTATTTACAATAGCTAAGATATGGAAAAACCTAAATACCCCCAAAACACATGAATGGACAAGAAGATGTGGTCTATATACGCCATGGAGTACTACTCAGCAATCAAAAAAGAGAAACTCATGCCATTTGCGGCAACATGGAAGGAGCTGGAAGGGATTATGCCAAGCAAAGTCAGTCAGAAAGAAGATAAATATTGGAAGGTTTCACTTGCAGGTAGAATATAGAGAAATGCAACAAAGGGTCAGGAAAAAGACAAAATTTGCACACTGACCACAGATCAGAGGCATCCAGCAAGGGAAGAGAAGGGACAATACAGGGGAAGGAAGAGCACAAGGGTCTGTGGTGATGGCTCACGGGTGCTCTGGTGTTGGGAGAACTGGGGACCACACCTGAGGGGAGAAATCAATGACTGGCAAAAATGAACAATAATGTAAGAAAATAATTTTAAAAAAGAGTCAAGAGCATAAAAAAGAGAAAGGAACATCTTGTAAACTGTGGTAGGAAAACTGGACACCCACATGACAATAAACCACCGTCTCACGCCACATACAAAAGTAGTTCAAAATGGATTAACTTTTTGGAGGAAGGACCTGAAACCATAAAATATATGGGAAAAAAACAGGCAGATTCCACAAAAAATCTTCGAGAAATAATAAATGAATACAGAAGGATGTGGCAGGATGCAAAATCAATACACAAAAATCAGTGCATTTCTGGGGCCTCCCCGGTGGCGCAGCGGTTGAGCGCTGGGTTGCGAAGCTGCCCGCAGCCTCTGCAGCGCTGGTTCGATCCCCGGCTGCGGCCACCAGAGGAGGGTCCCGCATGGCGCGCAGACCTCTCCTGCCGCCCGCTGCTCCCCTCAGCAGTGTACTTCGGTCCTTCTGCCTGCTCTGCTCCCCGCTCTGGCTCTGGTGAATTCTCTCGCCCTCCCGCGCTTCTGACTGTACCCAGTGCATGTGTAAACAAAACAAACAAACAAATAAATAAAAAACATGCCTCTATTAAAAAAAATCATTAAAAAAAATCAGTGCATTTCTATAGGTGAACAGGGCATCAGAGAGAGGGAAATAAGGCATACAGGCCGTTTACAATCATGCCAAGAAGAATGACGTACCTGGGCAGAAACCCAACAGAGGAGCAGGGCTTGTAGAATGAACACTATAAAACTATCAAAGGAAATAAAAGCAGATACAAAGAAATGTATCTGTGTCTGTGCTCGTGGGTAGGAAGAATTATTATTAAAATGGCCATGTTTCCCAAAGCATTTTATAGATCTAATCCAATACCTGTCAACATAGCCGTGACTTTTAAGGATATAGACAATTATCAAATTTATATGGAATCACAAAGGGCCCTGAATAGCTAAAATGATCTTGAGGGCAAGAATTAAGATGGAGGCATCACACTTCCTGACCTCACAGGTGGGTCTGCTAATCTTAAGGGTTCTGTTTGGCCACCATATTTGTTTCCTGCAGTTCTGCATTCCTGTGCAAGGTCAGAACTGCCTGGTCAATGAGTCATAAGGAGCCCAACCTTACAAGGTGCCTTTCAAATCAACTAAGAGCTGAAAGCTTGATCACGCTGGGAAGGCTCTGCATCATGTGGTATGACCGGGAAGGCCTGGGGGCCGATGCATAAATGTACTCCCGGCTTATACATCACCAGGCAGGACCAGGAACGGTGGAGGGAGGGGTAGCAAGGACCTATGTGTACAAAGGACAGCCCCCCTCCCTCCCCCCCAGAAGCTGATCAGTGGAAAGCCTTGTTGATAAGATTGAAACCATGGCTGGGGAACAAGGGCTTGATCTCAGCTGCAATACTGAGCCATCAAGCAGATGAGAAGTGCCTGGAGGGCAGACTCACAACCCCGATACTAGAGATGACAGAGCACGTTTTCAGCTTTGACCCCTCCCTTTTCTCTTTGTCCTCCTTGTGCTCCTCCCCCTCACAACTGATGCTGTATGATTATTTTAGCAATAAAAAGGCCAGGATCTTGCTCTTCAGCAGCATCCTGCATCCTGCAGCTTCCTCCACAACTCCTGTTTCTCATTGTGGTGCTGTCAATGTAACATTCAAACAATATCACAGAGCAACAGTAATCAAAACAGCATGGCATTGGAGCAAAAACAGAAACTCAGACCAATGGAACAGAATTGAAAGCCTAGAGACAAATCCATGGATGAAGCCTAGAGACAAATCCAGCTAATTTTTGACAAGGGAATCGTGGCCACACAGTGGAGGAAAGATAGCCTTTTTAACAATTTAATAATTATTGCTGGGAAACATGGATAGCCACATATAAAAAAAAAATCAAGATCCATATTCATACCATACACCCAAATTCACTCAAAATTGATTAAGGATTTAATCAAAGCCATAAAGTACTGGAAAGAAAATACAGGGGACACGCCACAGGCCATGTCCCACAAAGAGGTACTTGGGATACAAATCCCTGACAGCAAGGGAAACCCAAGGACATATAAACAATGAACAGCAAACTTAAAAAGCTTTTGCACCTCAAAGGAAACCATCACAAAACCAAAAGGGAAGCTCCAGAGTGGGCGCGAATACCTGCACACCCTCCCTCTGGTCAGGGGCAAAGCTCCAAAACTGACAGAGGACCTGCACAGGCCAGCAACAAAGCAACAAAGGACCCAATTAAAACATGGGCAAAGGACCCCCGCAGACACTTCTCCGTGGAAGACGTCCAGACGCCCGCGAGACAGGTGGAAAAAGCGCCACTTCACTCCCTGTAAGAGAAATGCAAACCCACACCACAGAGATGCCACCTCCCCGCTGTGAGAACCGCCCCTATGAGAAAGAATGGCATTAACAAATGTGGGTGAGTTTGGGGTGAGAAGGACACTCGGCCACGGTTGGGGGGTGCAGGCTGGTGCAGCCGTGGGGGAGCATGTTAAGAGATGGCTCAAGAAAACGAGAACTGGAATCCCACCTGACGCAGCCATCCCGCTGCTCGGGGTCTCTCCAAGTGACAC